ACCCTGTAGCGAGAATGCTGAGGCCTGTACACGCAGTAAATTGCTTAAGGCAAGAAGAAGAGGTCGCATAAGTAAATGGATCCTTTGTTACCATGGCTTGGCGGGTATAATCCTCCTTGATAAGCTGTATGTTACTGAACTCGTCAGTAAATTTCCCAACTTTTATGGAACCTTAAGGCGGGCGACGTGCAACCAAGGCACAAAATAATTACGTTCGTGTAAGAGTGCTTGACTGCAAGAAGCAAAATGTCCGCCTGAGCGTCTCGTCTCCCATTTCATCCAAGTGTTCAAGGCTTCACCAAACAATGGAGTTAACTTTAATTCCAGTTTATATTAGACCATTAGAACAGGAGTCGGTTTGGCGACTGGCTACGGACTAAACGACCGAGAGGAGAGAGTTCTAGTCCCGGTAGGTTCAAGAATTTTCTCAACGTCGTCCAGACCGGCTCTGGGGTTCACCCAACCTCCTATACAATGGGTACCGCGGCTTTTCGTCGAGAGTAAAGCGGCCGGGGCGTGAAGTTGACCACTCACCTCCCAACTAGTGACGAGGTCAAGAGAAGTGTTACTATATATCCACTTCCCCATACGTCTTCATGGCGTAGTGCTTAATTAGTTAAGCACAGGGACAACTTTACCTCACTTTACCTTTTTAGACCATTAGAACATCTGCTTGATACAGTTTTGTAGATCAGTGTTTTCTTGCTTCCCGCCAGTAAAGCGGGTATGTACGTGTGGCTGCATGCATCAGGTATGAATGAATCAATATTTCCGATTTGTACCTACCTACATATCTATTCAAATATTTACCTATCTGTCCCTCTATCTCTCTGTATGTATATTCTTTCTTTCTTTACATATAATTGCACAGGTTAATTTTAATTTATATACAGTCCATTAGAACACCTTTTTTTTTTCCTTTGGCACTACAGCCCCAGTGGGCCTAGGCCTATCTCCATGAACTCCGTTCACTTCGGTTTTTCTAGATCTTACACATACGGTAGGACTCCTTGGGCGAGTGATCAGCTCGTCGCAAGGCCTCTACCTGTAGACATCCATGCCCTGAGTGGGGTTCGAACCCACGATCCCAGCTTCCGAGCGAGCGAAGACAGTGCATGCCTTAGACCGCTCGGCTACCGTGACCGGCTGTTAGAACATCTGCTTGGCATAATTTTATAAATCAATGTTTTCTTGCTTTCTACCAATAAAACGGAGTATGTATGTATTGTAGCGTATAGACTCGTAGCTAAGCAGTGACTCTGTAAACAACGACCGTTTCTGGGCAACGGCTCGATAAACACCTTCCTGCTGCAGCGAATATGCACGCAACAACAGAGTTACTGTTGGAAGTGCTGTTTGTTTGTACGTGGTCAGTGCCGAGATGTCATAAGCAAGGGACAAAGTTGGTTGTCAATGTAGTTGAGTCTGCATGGATGCTGTGAAGAGAGGACTTGAGCGCGTGAAGCTGAAGAATCTCCACTGTTAGAAACCGTTACTCGGAAACCTCTGGTAAAGGCACGGGAGGCTGGGAAGAGGCTTAGCGGTTCCTGTGGCGATTTGTGAATTGTGGAGGAAGCTGTGGCGCTGCAATTACTTGTACTTAACGAGTCATCAGTATAAGTCATCAATAAATCAAGTCATCAATCCAAACTTCGTCCATAGTTACACATACACGTGACAGTACGTTTGCCTGCCTGCTCGCCCGCCCCCGGTGTGAATTAATTTGTCTGATTTCCTGCCTACCTGCCCAACTGAATATGTACATATCTACGCATCTACCAACCTACCCACCTACCTACTTACCTTCTTACCTTTACATGCCAATCCACCGATCCTTTCTGACTGATTTATAGGCCTATGTATAATTCCAGACACACTCGATTCGTTTATCGAGACTCATAAGTTGTGTCATATGCCTGGTTTTTCCAGCTACCACATTTAACCATGTTCCCAAGTGTATCAGCATTGACTGCAGAATAATATGAAGGAAAAATGTTTGATGGTTTTGTAAACAGCGGTAAACCCGTGGCAGAGGTCAAATTGTAGAGCTGGTCATTCTGCAAACACTTGAGTTATGAACCAAGGTGCTAATTTGTTGAGAGAGCTGTGCTAATTGGTTGGTAGTGTCAAACAGTGACCGTTATTGCCTTGTGTAGACCGAGTTCACTCAGACCAGTGCCTTCCTGAAATATTATTAATTTCTGCAAAACTCACAGCTAAAATGATGGGAGGTGGTAGGCGTACCTAGTAGAAAGATTGTTGTTTCAAAGTATAAAGGTTTCTAATTGGGTTCTCTGTGTTATTATAATCGTAAAGTTGAAGTTCCACGCACTCTAGACCAGCGATGGCCAACTGGCGGCCCGCGGGCCGGATACGGCCCGCGACTTGATTTACTCCGGCCCCCTGCCAAGTCTCAGGTTTATTTTCAAAAATCTTAACTTCACAGCTGTATTGGCATAGAATTCAGTTTTTAATAGGACGTTTCATTAGCTTACAGCATNAAAAAATGCTCTGGGGGTAGAAGTGATAGAAGGCAATAAAATCGATTGGTGAAATTTTCAGTATCGGCTTAATATTATTGGTGCAACGTAAAATTTAAATACATAGGTTTAAATGCACTGTTTTTATACGGGTTGTGACTGATTCAGTTTGGGGGGCAATACTCCCCGACCACTCTTCTGAAAGAAACACCGTATCTGGCCCCTGATGGTGTTCTATAAACTAAATTTGGCCCTCGAGATGTATTAGGTTGGCCAACGCTGCTCTAGACTATGTGACTCTATGATAAGCTTCTCCCTCCAGGGCAGAGTCTTGGTATTTGTTTGGCCGGAGACTGTGGCTCTATATCCGGTTTGGACGTAGCGGCGGTGTAACGAATGTTTACCCCCTGCTGCGTTGCGAACTTCAGCCGTCCATCCTATTTTCATCGCCTACATTTCAGTGCTGATATAGCGGGATAGCGACAGGCTACTGGCCGGACTGTCGGAGTTCGATTCCATGGAGGGACAAGGTTTCTCTCTTCTCCGTAGCATCCAGGCCATTTCTGGGCCTCACCCGCCTCTTAACCTTCACCACTCACCCCCATCTAGTGCCGAGGTCAAGAACGGCTCAGCTATACCTTTACTCCCCCCATACGTCTTCATGGCGTGGTGCACAGGGACACCTTTACCTATACAAATATATACAAGTATATCAATGTTTAACGCCTCTGTGTTAAGTGAAACTGATACACGTTTTATTTTCGAAAGATTCTTTTAAAATCTGAATGGAGTTGAAAACACCCGTTCTTCTTAGAGAACTTTGATCTTAGGTCGTAGCCTTATAGGCATTTCACAATGTGAAGCATTGGTTTTGATATATGAAATTTATTTTCTTGTAAGCTCTTGTAAAAGCACGTTTTTCGAACCACTTTTATAACTACAGTGGAAAAGAGCTTTACTCTTCTCCCGCGTGGTGCATGTACAGATGCAACAAAATAATACGAGTATTTTAAATTTAAGTATTTATAAAAATGATAAGATAAAAGAAAATATTTTTTGACAGAAATAACAATGTACTTATTTTATTTTCGATTATATTTTGAATGTGTGCTCTGTTTATAGATCGGCATTCAACCAGGATGTATTTCATCTGTTGCCATGTATGCTCAGACTTAGGGGAGACTAACTTTAGCTTATGACATTCTTTCCTTCAAACTTTCTAGCAATGTTCCTTTCGAGGCGTGTGTCCTTTATATAACCCAGCAGAAGAGAAATCTAATGAACTGAGACCGAGTCAAGTAGAAGACCATCAAGAACTGGACGTTCAGTGATTGCCACATGCTCACTCACTCACTCATGGAGATGAGCCCTTCTTGAGAAGCCACCGATTGTGCAGCTACTCAAGAATTTCCCAGCATTTTGTGAAATCCGAAGGTTCATTACCGTGTACACAAGAGCTCTCCACTGGTCCCTATCCTGAGCCAGATCAATCCAATACATACCACCCCATCCTATCTCTCTGAGATCCATTTTAATATTGTCCACCCACCTACCCCTTGGTCTTCCCAGTGGTCTCTTTCCTTCTGGCTTTCCCACCAATATAATATATGCATTCCTCTTCTCCCCATTCATGCTACATGCCCTGCCCACCTCATCCTCCTTGACTTGATCATTTTAATTATACTTGGAGAAGAATACAAGTCATGAAGCTCCTCATTGTGCAGTTTTCTCCAACCTCCTGTCACTTCTCCGGTCCAAATATTCTCAGCACCCTGTTCTCAAACACCCTCAGTCTATGTTCCTCCCTTACTGTCAGAGACCAATTTTCTCACCCATACAGAAAAATTTTATATTATTTATATTATAATTTTTATGTTTTTGGACAGCAGACGAGAAGACAAAAGGTTCTGGACTGAATGGTAGCAAGCATTACCTGAGTTCAGTCTCCTCTTAATTTCCGCCTGAATCAGGTTTTGATTTGTTATCGTCATTCCACAGCGTTGCAGAAATATGAAGTTGTGACATCTTGCCAAAAGATAAAGTCTTTTAAGAGGGATTCTGTGCCTCATATGGGTCTGTAAGAAGAAGGAAGGGAAGGAGGGGGAAAGAATTGCTGAGCATAATGTGTACGAGTAATTGGCATTCTCTAACTGAACCTTGTCATTCAAGAAGAAACAGGATATTATTTAGTGTGTGTTATATCCATCAATCACAATTTTTTATTCTCAGTAATTGATGTTTATTGAAATGTAATTATGCTACACGTTTTGGTCGTATAGACCATAATCAGGCGCTTCATAAACAATAATATGCATCACTATTTATGAAGCACCTGATGGTGGTCTAAATGACTGAAACATTTAGCATAGTAATTTTTCAATAAACATCAATTATTGAGCATAAAATGTGAATGAGAGATATACCACATACTAGTGATACAACAGGATGTCCAACATAAGAAAGAAAATGGGACATTATTTGCACAACTCCTCTCTTGAAGTGTGATTTCTTGCCCCGCAGGGATCTACTGGATATTCAGTTGATACTGATGTGTTCCAGCGAAGAGAAAATCACATATACTACAAAACTGATGATGTACAACAGTGAAGAGGAAACACCATCTCCATGTAAGCGACCAAGAACATGCAATAGTGTTACCACTTGGAACAAAGTAACTGTCCTCAAGCCTGAAAAGAAAGCAGTGCTCATAGGTAAGGATAAATTTTTGTCTGCTGTACCTTCTCGAAAAGGATAGGCTTATGGTATTAGCTTGACTGTTTGCGAGGGCTCACATATGTGTGTGCATGCATGTTTGTGTCTCCCATAGTAATAGGGTTATAGGCATTTAATGGCTTTTCATGAAACTTGTTGTGAACATCATGCCATAGGAGGGTATTACCATCAGTAATACCAAGATTATGGCTCTTCATACTTCTGAACTGAATGTGACACAACTGTCATTTATTGCAGGGTCATGATTGTTGTGTAGAATGTCTTGTAAAGAGTCTGCAGGACATACTTTGATACACATACAACAATAATATGCATATAAACATTGTATGAAGCATCCTTTATAAGATAAAAGCCACAAATACGGCTACTGTGTAAGATTTGCATTTGTGACTGACCAACTTTGAGATAATGCAAGCCGTTCAAATACAAAACTAATTTCTTTTTTGCAACAACATCCGTGTTGTAAAATCTCCTTCTGAAACATGAAATTTACAATTGAATATGCCACTCTACTGTGACGCAATGGAAACCTGTTCATTCCTGTAATTTCTAATTTTTTTATTCTTTTTCTTCATTTTGTGTTTCACGACACTATAAATTCCTGGCCTTCCACATCCTAAATCCTTTTTCAGTTGTAATACCAGCTTGCTAGGGGTGGTAGGCTGTACGTTTATGACACCAGAAATGTCTGACCACTCCAGTTCTATCCTTTATGATGTTCTGAAATATTTGATAGTGGACAGATGGTTACAGTTCATCAGACTGGCTTGCAATTCTGGAAATGTACTTCTCTCAAAATGCACTTCCAGTAATTCTTGATCCATTCAGAAACATTTATAGATTAGCAGTGTTTGTAATCATTGTCTTGTAAGCAATATTTCATATGAAGTTTCTAAATATTTTAGCTCCATTGGTTTAATAATTAAAGAGGAAATTAATTGAGAAAGCTTAAACTTTCATATACTTAGGGATAATGGGTGCCAACAGAAGATGCTTGCTTGCTTTTGTTTGTTGCTTGTACCCTTCAGCCTGGAAGGTTAAAGTAGTGTGATTCTCTAATACATTAATAAACTTCTACCATACAACATGGTGTCATATTGCATACTGTAATGCATTATAACAGAATAAATGATATATTAAGAAGGAATGGAAAACAAATGATGCAGGACATACTGCTGGAATTTCACATGTGGCTAGTACACCAGTACAGCAAATGCTGGACTGTGGGTAAAGCCAAGGAACAATTTCTTGAGGCAGCACACAGGAGATTACCAAGACCATTACTTGAACTAATGAGAAGAAATGATGTGTGAAATGAAATTATTTGAGAGTAAGAAAGATGCAAGTAACATGGCCCATGATATTGGTGAATACCATGAGAAGTGGAAGGTACATGTGCAGGGGATACCAGTGGATTGTTTACCCACAGGTGGAATGGAGTATAGATCCCAAGAACAAACAGGCTTGGGAAGACCTGGGAAAAGGTGGAAGGACCAGTAGCATGCTTTACTTCAGAATGGGAATCACTGTATCCATAACTGTTGAGAAAGCACTAATTATCACTGTTAAATGGAAACAAATGAAATTTTTGATTGGCCACCATGTCTTTGCCTCTAATGGCATACTAAATTGAATGAAAATTGATGAATTGGTTGAAAAGTTGAAATAGAAACGTGGACACATACGGTCAGTATGATGATCTTGTAAGTTCTTTGTTATCCTTGAGAAAGAATAGGCTAAAAATTGCCACAACTGAAAAAAAACATAGTCCTCTCTCCACGTATAAAATGAAAGTTAAAACATAATCTTCATCTTCATGGATTAGGCCATGCTTGGTTTGTTCNTGTTTGTTAATAACAAAATTAATTTTATGGCGTTCCAATAATTTCCTCTAATTTTTTTTTTTTTTGGGGGGGGGGAATTAGGCTATCTTCCATTCATAGAACATGATAATTCTACTTTGAATTTTATTATTTAGATTAGTTCTTCCCTAATTTTAGTATTTCTTATTTGACCCTTCCTTGTGTAGCCTGCTAAATTCCTCAAAAATTTCATTTATGCAATTTCAATTTTGGCTTCCTGTTCTTTGTTATAGTCCAAATTTCAGATCCATATATAAGTATAGGTACTACCGTAGCGGCCTCCATAGTCTAGGGGTAACGTTCCCACCTCATGACTCAAGGTACGCGGTTTCAAACCCGGCGGAGGTCGTGGAATTTTTAAGGGCAGAAAAAATTCAGGGAACAAGTCCTCCGAGAGGGACTTTAAGCCGTGGGTCCCGTGTCGTAGATTTACGGCACGTAAAAGAACCTCATGTCTCTAGGAGACCTCTGAGCTAAATTAGGCAAATGTTCCCGCCCAAGTAGTTTCCAATGCCTCTGGTAGATGGGGAAGGTATTAGGTACCACTGCCAGATGAGGACTGACCTCACTGACAGAAAGGGACTAATTATCAGATACCACTGCCAGTAGAGGGCCAACCTCGCTGGCAGAAAGGGGCTGATAACAGGCACCAGTACCAGTAGGGTATGAAGACAGTAGAAATTAAAGGGGGATGCACAATGGACCAATAACTGGTCTAAGTGCATGGGGAAACCCGCCTCCTTCAACAATGAATGAATGAATGAATGAATGAATACGTACCACCGTAGCTTTATATTTTATCTGTTCATATTGTGCTGCACATTTGGTTAAAAATACTCATTTTTATTTCCACATCTCTGTTCTGTGTTACTGAAATTGTATATCCTAAGTAATTACGACTTAGTATATGAAATTTCAGTAACAAACAACAGAGATTTAAGCTAAAAGAAAGCTAAAAAGTGTATACTAATTCTATGGGATCTAAGTGCTTTGCTCAGAATCTTAATAAACATTCTTTTGACAAAGTAGTGCAATCTATCATTCCTATTTAAAGACATTCCATCAACTGCATTAGTAGTTTATTCAGCACTGAATGAGATCAGGAGATAATTATGAATAATGAACTGGAAAGTTATGTTTCAAGATAGTATTCCAACATTTCTTTGGAGTGACCAAAGAAAACCACAGTGAATTTGTCATGTGAACTGGCACCCTGGTTAAATATCAGACATGTTACTTCTCAAAGAAACCTCAGGTGCACTAGCCTTGGCTCACCTGCTTGGTGTAATTAATCAAATGACGTTTTATGTGCGTGATCAAAATTCCAAGCAACACACAACTTTGTGAAAGAGAAGGCTGAGTGAAATGCTGCTGTATGCTGAACAATTCTTGTTGTAGAAATGTTTTCCTGTTTAAACTATTTACACTTTTGATAACTTTAATATTCCATACTGGTGTTAGCTATTTCCTTGCTACTCTTTTTCTGAGGTAGAATGGACATTGCCATATGAAGGATTTTCTGCCAAGTGTAAAAATATTTACTGCCATTTAATTCCTTGATAAGGATAATGCTAACACAACTTAAATCTTTTGTTATTATAGGAATTTTGGAAGCACCAAAGTTTGTGGACAAAGCTATTGTATCCTTGTCTGGAGCAATAACATACAAACTTAAACAGGAAGAAACTACAGGTGAATATTACCTTTTTGGTTTATCTTCTGCCAGGAATATTGAAATTTATTTTCGTGAGGCTACTTGGGAAACCTGGAGATAGATGAGAAGATAAATTTAAAATTAATTTGAAGAAATGGAGTGAAAGCATGGGCTGAATTTAGCTGGTTCAGAATATGGTTATGTAAAAGGGAGGAAATTTCTGAATATCTAAATGATTATCAGCTTCTTAAGAAGGGCTGTGTTCCACGGAGTTTTATATTATTTAGTGTCTCAGCAAATTTAGTTCATGCATCTTTTTTTACAGAACATCACATACCAGTTTCCCCTTTCCATTTCCGAGTGGAAGATTTTTCAAGAAGACTAGGATCTCCATTCACATCTGAAATTACAGGTTAGCAGTGTGTGTTTAGTGCCATTTCATGTGTACATCAGAATAACTTTACTTGTGCTTGATTCATTTTTCTGATTTAGCTCTTCTTTATGTACAGCACAAAGTAGCAGGTCATTTTAGATAAAGGGTGTCTGGATGAAAGGTATCGAAAATATAATCACTATATCTCGGAAAGAATTTATTATACACATTAATCGGTTACACAAGCGGCCTCCGTAGTCTAGAGGTAACGTTCCCACCTCATGACTTGTAGTACGCGGGTTCAAATACCCGGCGGAGGTCGTCGAATTTTTAAGGGCGGAAAAATTCAGGGAACAAGTCCTCCGGGAGGGACTTTAAGCCGTGGGTCCCGTGTCGTAGCTTTACAGCACGTAAAAGAACCTCATATCTCCAAAGGAGGTCACTGAGCCAAATTACGGACGTTTCCCGCCCAGCAACAGTCTCTAATACCTCTGGTAGATGGGGGAAGCATTATGGATACCTCTCAGCTAGTAGAGCTGGTCTCGCTGGCTGGGCGGGACTGATGGTAAGCACCAGTGCCGGTAGGATATAGAGACTGGTAGAAATCATAGAAGCAAGCACAATGGACCAATACAGGTCTAAGTACATGGGGAAACCGACCCTCTCCAATAACTAACTAACTAATCGGTTACACCATTACAAAAGGAAAATATCATAGTTTTTTCTGCATATATAACTTTCTCAATATATTTAAATGTGAGCTCCCTTGATGGTACAACAAATATCCAGACGATATTCGACCTCATTCCACATTGCTTGAAGCTCATTTATCTTGACCTGGTAGACAGTGTTCTTCACATAACTCACAAGAATAAATCCACTGGGGTTAGATCTGGCGACCTAAGAGACCAAGCTGTTGGTTCATCTCTGCCGATCCATGTCCTAGCCATCTCTCTGTCAAGGTGATTCCTAACATGGTGGAAGAAATGTGGCGGCGCTTGTGCGTAAGCTGGGCATGAAAAAAACTTTCAGAGTTTTCCCTTCCAATGACATAAACCGGATATGTATTTGACAATTAGTTTCCGAGATATACATTCTTTATTTTGGTTACCTTTCATCCAGACACCCGGTTGTTTCACCATAGACTTCATGCCATTCCTCGTTACTTAGAACACACAGTTTTATACTCTTAAAATCCAGTACCTGGGCAAGTTGCACAGATGAAATAATCAGAGTGTAACAACCAGTGCTTCCACAAATACTTGGAATATTCACATTCATAACCTCAGCACCAGATAGAGGTGAGTGGTCTGCTTCACATCCTTTCCCTTTTATGACTGGTGTCCATTGGATAGAAGGGGGAATAGGTCCAAGAACTGGTCTTTTCGTGGTAATGAAAAGGAGAATCTTCCTGTCTGAAACTGAACCCTAATAATCCACCTCATCAGTCACTTACTATCTGAGCTGTCCTGACATGNGTGTGGTTAAAATTACAGTGTAGGTGTATTTCAGTGTATAAATCTACAATAGAACAGTTTCAACTATAATAGGCTATGTACCGTACTTCAGAAGCTTTATAATGAAGAACCATTGGCCTGCATCACAAAAGGTAAGCTTAAGTAGCGTTTTATGGTGTAAAAAATTAACGATGTTAAATTTATACCGGTATATCTGGCTTGTATATGTGTACTTCGGTTTATCCGATGTTTTTGATTATCCGCGCCAAGTCTCCCCGCCATTACCGCGGATAATCGAGAGTCTACTGTATAGCATTATAGCATTTATGAAAGCAGTGACATAATTCCTTACATTGCTGCAATTTTCTGATAAACATGATGACTACATGCACCAGCTGTCAGGCAGCCCAGAAAAGCAGTGGGATATAACAGACACAATGCACTGAGCTGAAAAGCTCTCCAGGGTGTATCAAGTAGGAACAGAGAATGAGTCATGGAAAAGTGTTGGGAACACCGTTCAAGCAGTTAGTAATATGCTGTACATAAAAGGCCATTCCCATTTCGTGAAGAACAGCCTGGTCAGTCAGGTATATTTCCTAATCCAGGAATCCTTCACCAGTTACTGTCTTCCAGAGTTATATTGTAACGTGTTTGGAATAGGCACTTCCATGGTAACGCAATAACAGTGAGCCATTGCATAGACAATGCCGAAACAACAAACGCGTTTCGCCAGAGATGAACAACCGAAGACCCGTTACGTAACAGCGGACAGTAGAAACGAAACCGTGAGGAATGATGTCTGGTATCCAGGCCGCAGAACACCTACATAAGCCGAGAGCAACAGACAGCAAGAAGACAATCTTGGGATAGCCGCTGCCAGAGACAGTTGAGACGTCGTATTAGAGTATTGGGCCAGAAGTCAGGCGATACTGCAAGTGACAATAATTGTATGGTGTGTAAGTGTGAGTGTCTAATAAAGATTCGCTAAATCCGAGACCCACGTAAAGTTATTTGTCACGTGACATGCCCAACATGTGACAATACGATTTTATGTACCCACAGTTTGAATTGTATATTGACAAAAGAACTGATGGCTTGCATACTGAAAGATCCACATTTGCTGTGGCCAGAAGTGTAGCGAAGGAAAGCGGGCACATAGGCTTTGATGAATGTTAACAATGGCTGCCGTTCCCCAACCCCCAATTTTCGGTAAGCCTATGTGATCTTGCCAGCTGCAGTGTTTAGCACGATTCTAACTGCCACAGTTGATGAGGGATTGTTGTAATCATAGAACAATGTTGATGCCGTGTGTGAATAAGCGCCTCTTATATTATCATGAAAAAGTATGGGCTATACACTTTGTAATAAAAAAAAATCAAGTCTAGCAGATGATGTGTTGCTGTATCAGTCTTTATTAACCTAATAAATATGTACAAGTGATCCTCTAATATAGCCTTTGTAGGTAATTATGACACATAAGACATGCTTAAATCATCTGTTATACTTCTTAATTTGTGATAAGAGATAGCTTTGAAAGAAAGTGAGCATTCATGTTTATAATTCTAATAAGAAAATGCACTCTTAGCCTGGGACACATAATTAAATTTTCTTACACAGAAATTTATTAACGAAATCTCTGAGGCCAGGGGTTCCATGGAACAGTGTTTGCAAATTACCATTTCAAACAGTTATTATTAACTAGTATATGATGTCCTTTTTTTATTTTCAGAGGCAGATCAACTTTGTGTTTTGGTGACCAGCTATATTGTTACATTACCTGTTGTTTTTATATCAAATTTTGAACCTTCACTCCGAAAGTTACTTATATATGAGCTGAAGTTCAGCGAGTTTCCTGTCATAGGATGCCTCTTCCATAAGGGCACCTTGTTTTTGGAGCTTGCTGGTATCATGCTGCATATGGAGACAGTATCAGATCTGAAGTACAACCTTACAGTTTGTGCAAGGTAATAAAGATAGCATGTTGGGATTTCTTCTCTTCCTGGACTATAGAATATTGCAGCATACTGGGTGTGAACTAATAACTACGCAGAAACACACACAAAATTACATGGATCCAAAGTTAGACAAAAATGACATACAATGTGGCTACAGTTTGCTGTAAGAATGGCTGTTGCAAGCACACACCTGAAATGCAGCTTACAGTTTCTTTCAGAGATGATCTGATTTGTGAAACTTTGTGTGATGTGTCTGAAAGGAAAGAAAGGAATGTCAATAAATAGTTCTCAGGTAAAGATTTTGTGACATGATGGCTAAAAACCAGAATAGCAGAGCCAGAAGGGCAATGGCTGGTAAGAAACAAACCCATCCTCTCATCAGAGAGAATCTTTCCTAAGGGCTATGACCACAAAGGTTCAGTTGCAAAAAATAATTTCTGTTTGTAAGCCTCAAGGGGCTTGGCAGTAAACTACTAGTCATAAAGTAACTGGCTCTGACTCTGACCAAGTTCATGAGTTAGTTATGAGATGGTTGCTGTCTGGTAAGGTCATGAGCAGGGAAGTTGAAGAATCTCCGCTCTTATGAGCTGTTACCAAGCAACAGCTAGTGAAGACACAGAAGACTTTATGTTTGCTGTAGTTACGGTAATATTTAGAGTGTGTAAATTAGTGAGACAGAGTTGCTTTTATTTGTGAGTTATGGTGTTCAATAAATCCAGTTATCAGTCAAGATTCCACATATAGTAACTAACACATGACAATACTTTGGATGGAGTTTGATTAATCTCATCCTCAAGGAAAGTGTTTGTGGTATGGTGAAGTTTGATAATTGCTTATCATAGCTTAATGAAATTTTGAGAAGAGCTTATTATGGCATAATGAAATCTGAAAATTGCTTATTATGAGTGATGAAGTTTGAGAACCGCTGATTATGGTGTGATGATGTTTTAGAATCATTTGTTACAGTATGATGAAGTTTGACAGTTGCTGATTGGTTTGAGGAAATTAAAAAATAATAAGGCTCCTGGAGAAGACAGAATAAATTCAGATCTATTTAATTATGCTGGTAGATTATTTCAGAAAAGCTTTCTGCAGTCCCTTAATACTATCTGGTATGATGGCACACTGTCGTAAGCTGGAGGAAAGCCCTTTTGGTACCATTAAATTAAATGTGAGGTATAGAATGTAAACAAAATTAAAGATGTATTGAAGAGATCTGAAATTCTGATAATATCAGCATGAGGTTATGTTCTATTATAGGGATGTCCAGCAGGTGTACCTATTGGCTCACTGCATGTACGGTGTGTTGTCTGCGCCACATATGATCCTGTATCCACCACATATGCAGGCAAAGTCCCTGCATGATGGTTTGAACCTGAATTTGAAGCATCTGCAGCAGGAGTTCAGGCTAGTACTGGAGCAGCTGAAACAGTATGTGACAGGACATCATAAGTCTGAGATCTGCATGTCAATGGAAGAGTACTCCAGGTTCCGATCACAACTCTCAAAACTAGAGATGAATACAGACACAGCTTTTGTGTGAGACAGATTGTTACAAGTGTATAATATATGCTAAAATGATAAAATTAAATGTAACTATACTTCAAATGGCATATGTATGAATGTAATTAATCATGGTGTTATATTAGCAAGTTCATTTAAAGCGGCCTCCGTAGTCTAGGGGTAACGTTTCCACCTCATGACTCAAGGTATGTGGGTTCAAGCACGGCAGAGGTCACTGAATTTTTAAGGGCAGGAAAATTCAGGGAACAAGTCCTCCAGGAGGGACTTTAAGCCGTGGGTCCCGTGTCGTAGATTTATGGCACGTAAAAGATCCTCATGTCTCTAGGAGACCTCTGAGCAAAATTAGGCAACAGTTTCCCACCCAAGTAGTTTCCAGTGCCTCTGGTAGATGGGGGAAATGTCAGGTACCGACAGCCGATGTTGTTGGCTGAACAGGGCTGATAGCACGCACCAGTACCGGTAGGGTGTGACGACAGTAGAAATTAAGGGAGGACGCACAATGGACCAATAACTGGTCTAAGTGCATGGGGAAACACACCTCCTCTAATAATAATAATAATAATAAAGTTCATTTAATGTACATTCTGTCAAATAAATGTTTATTGGTTATTTTAACACAATAGGGTGCAATATACTGATATAGACTGGAGAGATTCATTAGCAGAATAGAAAATGCTGTAGATGAGAAAAAGAATTCATCTTTTCAAGTAACGAAATATTTAGTTAAACAGGAAATAAATGGGCAAGGCATAAAGAAAAGTAATAAGGAACAGTAGATAGAATATTACAAAGCTATGTGTATTGTTGTATGACTCAGATTATATAGTAAATAAAATAGATATAAAATATAGAGAAAATCGGTACAGAAGCAGCTATGATATTTGAAGAAATAGTAATAGTACGAGGCTTGTCCACAAAGTAAGTTTCCCTGGGGCCGTTTACAGAAACAAAACACAGTTTCATGGAAATATTTATTGCAACAGATACAGCAAGTGTTAAGCTATTTTTCAACATCATCGCCACCGGAATTGAGACATTTGTCATACCGTGGGACCAACTTTTGAATACCTATTTATGCCACATCCATTAACAACAAAATTGCTGTAATCCTTCCCATTATGATGGCTGCAACATTCATGAACATGGATTGTCACATGTGTCTGTGTAACCAGGCATTTTCAGCATCTTCCATAACCTGTTTATCTCCATGTCTACCAAGGTATGTACTCACAAAGTTTCATTTTTATCAGTAAATTGTTGGATGATAATTAATTTGGGACCTTCTATGAGAGAATCATCTTGTGTACCTGTACTCAGAAATGCCAACATGATAACCATGAAAATTAATGATGTACCAAAATACTAATATTCAAAGAGGATCTGCAAGTTTTGTATGGCATTATATTTTTAAAAGTATGTAACTTTGATCCTGGTATTCCTTTGTGAAAACTGAAAATAAAAATGTTCAAATATAACTACTGCTCATGTTAACACCTACCTTGAGTTTGGTTCCTTCTTCTTCCCTTGTGTTATTGTAGTTCTCACAGTACAGCTGGTTGTAGCCATAGTCTAATCAGTAAAAACACAGGACTTTTCTGAAAGTTAACATTATTTTAAGTGTAGGACGTTTGAGGATTTGCAAGGAAAAGGTGTTAGTTACAGCTATCTTAATGCATGATTCAGTGAGCATAACAGCTTCTCACATAACAACATAGCAATTTTCATTCAGAATAGTATCTCGTGATTAAAGTGAAACACAGTATTTTTGTACCCACAAAAGAATTGCCAGCTGAAAATGGAAACTGATTCTACAAATAGCTGTCGGCAACATAAAGGTTTCTCAGGCCATGTCAGCTGTGTCAGTGTGGACAGTCTGATGTTTCAGAGACTGTCACTGCCTCCAACATCAGGGGCTGATGTAATAAGTATTATGTTCACACACTATATTTATACACAGAGAGTTGTGTCATCTGCTGCAGCCTGGACCTCATGGGGCACAGTGAGCAGAATGAGTTTGGTCAATCATCAGAATTCATGGTTGCTTGTCTTTGGACCAATGGTGACAGATGACTAACCCACTGTTCCCCATGCTATCTGCAGTGGAACAGGTCATCACTATCAGACTCCACCCACAGTTCTACATGCAGTCTGGGCTGGAGCAGACATGAGCTCTGAATAAATACAGCGTGCAAACATAACACTCATGATAGCAACCCCTCATGATCGAAAGAGAGACAGTCTCTGAAATGTCTGACACTCCACATTGATGTCAATGATCACCAAAGAAAACTTAACTGCATACTATCGCCATGAAAGCTTCAAAACATATTATCACCATTCTGAGTGACTATCGATGGGGTTTATTGGATTTATTGACCACTGTAACACACAACTTGTGACTACACTTAATTATAGTGCCATCACTATCTCCACACTTTACAAATCACACTGGTATTTATAATGCCCATAATTTGGTTCTAGTTCAAGGACTGCAGACTTTCGTGCGAAGATGTAGCCTATGTATTCTATTACAACAGTTGATGCGTCCCAGGGAGTTTTATAGGCATTTATAAACCAGGGCCCAGAAATAATACTACCTTACGAAGTCCGTGGTTGGAACTATTAGGAATAATAGACTTATAATACGAATCCCCAACTGGAAGAATGGGAAGATGTCACAGATTTTGCCAGGTATCAATCGACGAAACACAAGTGTGTGAGGGACGGTTTATTGCAAATTGTATAGTTGGATCCCTTAATAAGAATGAACAATCTACTCCATATCTTCGTGCGGTAAATGAATTCAAAACCACAAATAGCTCCGCAGTTTCCGAATTTTTTATCAATTCAATGAATTTACTATGGCCGAATGGCATTCAGTATGAGCGTGTATTGCTCTTTGTGACTGATGCAACAAGTTATATGTTGAAAGCCGGTACTGCTCTTAAAGTTATATTTCCAAATATGACACATTTGACTTGTCTTGCCCATGGTTTGCACCATGTTGCAGAAACAATTCATGTAAATTTCCTGCTTGTTAACAAGTTGGTGTTTTCTATGAAGAAGGTATTTGTTAAAGCACCATACAGAAAACAAGCCTTTAAAGCAGTAGCACCGAGCGTTCCACTTCCGCCAGAACCAATTTTAATGCGCTGGGGAATGTGGCTGTGTACAGCGAGTTTTTATACCAAACATTTAGAAACAGGAATGTCGTGAATATATTTGATCCCAAAAGTGCAGCATCANTTGCAGATTTACTTATACTTTTTCTTCAACCCTGAAGATGGGGGCGATACGTTCCTCCGAAACGTCGGTTAACACCACATATACACGGTGCCAAATCCCAGAAGACTGCTTTCTTCATAGTCACCGCCGTGAAAGCCTCAAATCTTACAATAGCAATACTGTTTAAGATATTTATGAACTATCCACAGAAGTATGAAGATTTCAAATACTCTTGTTATTGCACTTATTCTGGGATAAGCTTTAACGAAAATATACGTGACATCACATTAAAAAAATCGTTTTCCTCCCTGTTGTAAAAAAACGTTAAATGGTCGATGCATTGAAAGATTATTTTTTGTATGTTTATTTTGTTNATCACTAACAGTGGAGCAAATAGCGGCTTTGGTACATGCGCCCCTAAGTTCCTGTCAGGTGGAAAGAAGTTTTTGCCGCTATAAGGCCATCATACAAGACAATAGGGGGCGACTAACTCTGGAAAACCTAAAACAATTAGTAATTGTGAATTGCAACAGAAGAGAAGTCGAAAGTTCGGAGAGCTAAATGTGAGTTCCATGGGGTTTTTTAAATTTGTAATGAAATATGTTGGCTTTGTTGCATGATTTGTACTTAAGCATAGCTTCTTATTGCAAGTGAATCATTCAGTGATTACGTAAAATGAACTTAAATATTGATTTGTTGGTCTTAAAATAATGTAAAATCAATTTTAATATATGGTATAAATTTTTATGTGCATATTTCGGAAGTTTTTCATGCATAAATGCATACATATTTATGGGATTATTAGGGCATAAGAATCTGGTCCCTAGTGATGAGGTAAATTTGTATTGCAGATAGGGAAATTCAATCAAACAGGTTCTACGGTCACAGACTTTTTCGACTGTTTTGTGGAGTTGCCTAGAATCTTAAATATCGCAACTTGAAAACCAATGAAATTGTAAATTGAGTACTTCGCGGTATTTCGTTTGCGCAGTTGGCGTACGTTTTGTGCCGGGAATAGTTTCGGATGATGGTTTTGATGTTTTGTTATCAACAGTTCGCAGGTTCGTAGTGACAAATGGCTGAGATGGAAAACTATGGGAACGGTGAGAGCGAGCAAGTTAAATATGTAACAGAAGAATACCGAAATCTGCTTCACGAAGCAATGTTACTAAGTGAGTATATATGATACAGGTGTTCAAACATCTTGGAAACAGAAGCGAGATGGAATTTTTCTCCGTCGTCGTAAGAACAGTTTGCAGTATTTTGAATCATTAAACACAATAGAATCCGATATTTTAAAAGCTGGGGCAAATTTGTGAAAACATGAAACAAATATTGTACAGCAGAAGCAGGCCCATCGACGATGATAAATGCTAACGTTATAAAGATTCGAAAATTTGTAGCAAATTCCGTATTTTATAGTAATTGCAGAAAGAATTGTCAGTGATATGAAGAACTCAAAGAAGTCAGCACTTGTGCCCATAGTTTGGATGCTGTTAGGTGGCCAACGAATTATGTCAGCTCTTCCAGCCCATGAAACCAGATCACAAAATCAACTTTACAGAACCAGCAGAGGGTCTATATGTACTGCCATGTTAAATTTTCGTACCTGAAGATACTGGGAATTAAAGGGTGGGAGTCAGTAGTGAACTCATGGTCACACTGGCTGTTTATCATGAAACCAGAAGTGTGAAGACATTAGGACATGGCTTAAAAGTCTCATGTTTAATTATTTATTTATTTTTAGTTTATTTAACAACCCTGTCAGTAACAGACTTTACAGCGATGAATAATTGAATAACATTGAATAATGAATTGGAAAGAATGTGGAAGGAAGTAATGAAATTTGCCTGAAGAGACTGAAAAATCTCACAGGAAATACCCATCAGGATAAGTGGTGTCTTGGCCGATATTTGAACCAGGCATTTCCTGAATACAAGTCAGACTTACACAGTAGGCATATGTTGCCTTCATCACAGTGTTGTCTGAGGAGATTTAGTGCCCCCATAATTGGCACCCTAGTGAGGAGTGAGACAAAAATGAAGCTGATGAGGATGTCCTTTGACTTGACACACAGTGTGGCCATCTGTGTAGGTAAAATCCTCAGAATATTTCACAGTGTGCTGGAAATTAGCCATGTGCAATTTCAGAAGTTCTTGGTGTTTGTAGGTTGTATGTAAGCAAATCTGTCGGGGTTTTTTGGTGCCTAGATTTCTTCTTAGTTATGTACATCAGTGTCCTCTTCCACATCCCTGGCTCTGAATGGCCACTCCTTCTGTTGCCCATTTTTCTCACATCTTCTGTATACTTGGCCACTTTCCTCACTTGACAGTATGCAGTATGTGCCTTCAAAATACTGGTACCCACCTAAGAAACTACGTTTTGTCATAACTGAGAAGACCACAGTATGAGCTATTTTGGTTCTTCAGTTGATGTGAAATAAGTTAACATAGTATTGTATTGTATTTTATTTTCATCCATTTTGCTACATAGTAACACTTGGACAAGGCATTCGGCAATACAAGAAAACAAATCTACAAAGTTACTACAAAGCATACTACCAGCATTTGTTACAATCATAAGCAATATATAAATACAACTTTTAAAAAAATACACAAACTACTATATACAGCGCATGAATGGCTATGACATCCAAACATAAGTACTTGCACCATCCACTTTTTTATTAAAACTTAACAAATTCATTTATCGTATAAAAAGAATGTTTCAATAAAAATGATTTTAAGTCTTTAAACCCACCTAGTTTTTTGTTTTGTTTGGCACCTTACTATACAATTCTATCCCCATATTTACCACACTTTTTTAAATAATGTAGTTCTGCAGAATTGAACATGAAAATCCTTGTTTATTCTTGTATTATAACTATGAATATTTATATTTTGGATCAAATCTGATTTGTGCTTTTTTATGTAACATAACACCTCTGAGACATATAAAGAAGTGGCTGTGAGGATGCCATAATCTGTAAAAATTTGCCTGCATGACTCTTGTTCACCAAGTCCACTAATTATTTGCAACACCCTCTTCTGCATTTTAATACTGATGGTGGTATTAGAGAAAATAAATTGTTTTACTAGGAATAGGTTAATTGTTAATTTTAGAAGATTATAAAAGAGAAGAATGGAAGTTCATTAAATTCAGAGAAAGTCGTGTGGCAAATCTAATCTTCAAATGGAATTATGAAGGGCTGGCAAAATAAAAGAGATATTTTTTAACGTGGACTAATCTTGACAGCTAATGTGTTTTCACAGTGTACACTCTTAGAAACCAAGTGCAGAAGGGAAATGGGATTAGAGCATTTTTAATTTAAAAATTCAAAGACTTTTGATAAGGTGAATTCTAGCCTGAAGATAGAGGTAGCAGATTCCTCTAAAGGTGTTTGCGCTAGTGTTCTATCTTCTGAGATTTAATGCTGTATAGTCTGCTGAAAGTCAGCAGGCAGCTCAGCTTGCTGTCTGCTTCATGTTGATTTCATGCTTAGCTTACCCTTTGACCCTGAAGATGGAGACAACAAGTTGTTCCAAAACATCTTTTTAATTTAATAAGAGTACACAGTGTTACACGAGTAACCCTTCATAACCACTGCTGTGAGATTCTAAAATTTCAATCAAATTTTTAATTTTTCAATCACAGATGAGGAAAGCATTTTAACAAGAACCAAGTGTTTAGTAAGTAATTGTTATTTATAAGAAATCCCAAGCTGGTATTGAAAATAGTTTGGCACTTCATAAATGTTTGTAGTTGTTCTGGTGCATGTTTTCCTGAGTAGGGCTTATAAGCACGGAGCAGAAATTAAAAAGTTTTGTTCATCCTAAAAGAGAAGCCTAAAGCCTTTTTTTATTATTATTATTAGTAGATGAGAATTTAGCCCATGAAGGATCCCTTTTCCCAATAACAATTGATGATTTCTTTGCAGTGAGTTATTTTCTTAGAAGAAAATGTAAGTTTGTTCCATGCTTTTGTTACAGTTCCCTTAACATTTAGTGTTGCTTTATATTTCTTACTACTTTATACTGGGCTATACTGTATGAACAATCTACACACTGCTGGAGGCTGAGTAAATAGTGGAAAATATATTGTCATGTGTTGGGAGTATAACGCGACAAATAACTTTACGCCATATTGGATATAGCAATTTCACACTATGTCTTACTTTTTGGACTTAAGTGGCCTCCGCAGTCTAGGGGTAATGTTCCCACCTCATGACTCAAGGTACGCGGGTTCAAATACGGCAGAGGTGGAATTTTTAAGGGCAGAAAAATTCAGGGAACAAGTCCTCCGGGAGGGACTTTAAGCCGTGTGTCCCGTATCGTAGATTTACAGCACGTAAAAGATCCTCATGTATCTAGGAGACCTCTGAGCAAAATTAGGCAAGTTTCCTGCCCAAGTAGTTTCCAATTCCTCCAGTAGATGGGGAAGTATCGGGGACCACTGCCAGAGAGGGCCGACCTCGCTGGCAGAACGGGGCTGATAGCGAGCACCAGTACTGGAAGGGCATGGCGACTAGTTAGAATAATTAAAGGGGGACGCACAATAGATCAACAAATGGTCGCAGTGCATGGGGAAACCCACCCCCTCCAAATAATAATAATAATACTTTTTGGACTTGCATTCTCTTTTAAGATACCTGTGTTCTCTTATTTTCACAGATGAAGATGACAAAACAGGAAGAGAGAACATTCAGCATATTTCTTCTCTCATGTGCAAAGCCGATCACCTCATCAAAGATGGTGAGTCATAATACAGGCATACATTGTGACAAGTTAAAAATAATTACATTACATTGCATTGCATTCCATAGATCCATAGTTAGTCAAAATGACTGTAAGATGTGGAATATGTCATATAAATACAAAACAATATACAGAACCAATGGAGTTCTCACACAAGAGAAACCAAGAATACACAGTGACTACACACAAGGCTATTTAAAGATACATAAGTTATTTTCTAGACAATAGGTATTCATCAACAGAGTAGAATGAATGTGTATTTAAGTATCGTTTCAGTGCTATTTTAAATCATGCCTTTTCATTCATAAGACCTTTGAGATCAGATGGCAGTTTATTAAAAATGTTGATCCCAGCATAATATGCTCTTTTCTGAAAGCATGAGAGGTTAGCAGTTGGTTTATGAAGACAGTGTTTGTGTCTTGTGTTAACACTGTACATCCTCATTCATCTGAAAATGTTCTTCATTATTTGTAATGAAGTTTATTAATGAATATATATACGATGGGGTACCCAAAAGAAACCAAACTAATTTTTTTGTGGGCAGAGCTTTTGTAGTACTGTGTTTTCCCGCTATGAGCGCATAGAGCTAACATTCCTGAGTCGATAAGCCGACTACCGTTGCTTCAGAAGGTAAGGACTAGTTTCGGTAGAGTTTATAGTGACAACTGTTTTGTGTGATCGTCGTTTTTGCAATGGCTGATTTTCGTGAACAGCGTGCGGCAGTGAAATTCAGCTTTTTGCTCAGGAAAAGTGGAACAGAAACTCTTGAAATGTTAAAAATGGCATACAAGGACGATGCTATGGGGAAAACTCAAGTGTTTGAGTGGTTTTCCCGTTTCAAAAATGGTGAAATGTCAATTGATGACAAACCTCATTCTGGTCGGCCTTCCACGGCCCGAACACATGAAAATGTTGAAAAAATTCGTGAAATCATCAAGGAAGATCTACTCGGACTATTGAAGAAATTGTGGAGCTGTCGGGAGTGACTTGGAGCTCAGTTCAGCGAATTTTGACAGAAGATTTGGGAATGAAAAGGGTGGCTGCGAAATTCGTGCCACGACTGCTGACTGCTGAACAAAAACAAGGTCGCGTGGAAGCATGCTGTGCTTTGAAAGAAGAGTCCCGAAATGATCAAAACTTTTTTTTGTTTCCTCGAATGAAAAGAGACATGAAAGGAAAGCGTTTTGCTGATGTTGCTGAGGTGAAGGAAAAAACGACGGAGGCGCTGTCAAGCATCTCAAAAGATGAATTTAGACAATGTTTTGAAAAATGGAATAAAAGAGTAGACAAGTGTATTAGTGTAAGTGGAGAGTACTTTGAAGGGGATTGAAGGTTTGTGCTTAAAATTTGAATAAATAAGTTTAAAAAAAATAAGTTCGGTTTCACAAGGAAAAGTTAAGATCTGTAGTCTCTTAAATAGATCTCTGCAGGAATTACGGGATTTGACACCCATCATGATTCTAACAATTTTCTTTTGCAATGTAAATACCTTTTTACTGTCAGATGAATTACCCCAGAAAATTATTCCACGCTTCATTAAAGAGTGAAAAAAAGCAAAATAGATTGATTTGAGAGTGTCAGTGTTACTAATTTGTAACAAGAATCTAACTGCATAACATGCTCTACTTAACTTTGGAATCAATTGATCGATATGGTTTTTCCAGTTTAAATGATTATGAATTTGCAAGCCAAGGAATTTTGTGTTTACTCCCTCTTCTATATATTTATCATTTTCTTTTATGTTTAATGGATATTGTGGTGAGTTTTTTCTTATAAATTCTAGGTCCAAGGACAGCTTATTTGCAGAAAACCATTTACTCATTTGCATAATAACCTTGCTTGATAACATGCAGAAATCATCTAAATTTTCCCTAGAAATTATAACACTAGTGTCATCTGCAAATATTATACGTATTGATGAGGTCCTTAGTGTAGGAGGGAGGTCGTTTATATAAATTATGAAAAGCAAAGGCCCAAAAATTGACCCCCGTGGAACTCCATGTTTTATTATTCCCCAGTTTGAGTAGGTACTTTGGATTGAATTTGATGGTTTTATTTCAGTCTTTTGTTTTCTATCTGTTAGGTAGGATCTGAACCAACTTAACATTGTTCCTATATACACTAGTGAATGAATTTGCCGGTTGTTATTTCATGGAAATTGTTCTGCTGTAATGAAGATTGTTCTGTGCCTATAACAGGCATACAGTATTCTTCATTTTCAATTAGGATTTTGACCTTCAATAATCTAGTATCTTTCCATAAATTATTTGCTCTAAAAATCATTATGATTATATTGGTTTTGCTTGTTATGTCTCAAGTTTATCTTAAATATAATTTTGGGCGTTCTTCTGTCACTGTTAGATGACAGACATTTTTTATTGAATTTCTGTAAGTCATTATCATAACAACGAGCAGGCTTGCATAAGTTTGATATAACTGAGGAATAACCTCAGAAACTTGGAGCTGGTATAAAATGCAAAATACCTCAGGTAAGAAATCGGCTCGGGATGTACTGACTTCGCTCGCTTGGAAACTGGGATCGTGGGTTCGAATCCCACTCAGGGCATGGATGTTTAGTTTGTGCTTGTGCGTTTTTCTGTATTTGTGTACAAGTAGAGGCCTTGCGACGAGCTGATCACCCACCCAAGTTGTCCTACCGAATGTGTAAGATCTAGAAAAACTGAAGTGAACGGAGAAGTTCATGGAGTAAGGCCTAGGCCCACTAGGGATGTAGTGCCAAGGGGGGGGGAACAAGAAATCGGCTCATTTTTATAACCAAGAGAAAAATTGAAACATCTGCATATAAATAACAGCCAGTTCCTGCTGTGCCCAAGGAAATCCAACTTTCCTTTGCTAGAACATATGGAAAATGTAAACTGCATTCTGTCTTTGCTAGGATATGAGGGGGGGGGGAGGAAGCCATCTTTATCCATAGCTGGGATGCAGGCCAAGGAGAGGCAGTAGAATGGAGCAATAAAGGTGCCGGGAAGTAACACAGGAGAAGGGAGGGAAGGAAATAAAGATATGCAAGGGATAAAGGGATATACGAATGTGTGTGAAGGAACTGTTTTACCCAAAAGGTGGGGAAGGAAGGAAGGAAGGTGAATATGAATCATGACAGGATGGATAAATGAAAGGGATTGGAAAGCAGTAAGAGAGAAAGGAAAGAAGGAAATCAAGATATGAAAGAGGTAGAGGAACTAAAGAAAGAAGTGCTAGTAATAGTATACTCATAATAAGGAAAAAAAAATTGAAGGCATTTGAGAAAATTATGTGTGTAATTATGTGCTGGTGTCCAGAATATGTACAAGCCTGACGATGTTTGTTGTTATGACGATGCATTTTTATCAGAACAGTTATGTTTTCTTCTTCTGTGAGATGGCTATGTTGTAATCATGAAGTACCTCTAGTCACTACATGCTGCTGTCAGCTTGCCATATCGCCAGCAGCAGAAGGCATGGAAATATCTCTTCTGTTACCCTGTTTGTGGTTTAGCTACTTGCCATATAGCCAGCAGCAGAAGGCATGGAAATATCTCTTCTGTTACCCTGTTTGTGGTTTAGCTACTTGCCATATAGCCAGCAGCAGAAGGCATGGAAATATCTCTTCTGTTACCCTGTTTGTGGTTTAGCTACTTGCCATATAGCCAGCAGCAGAAGGCATGGAAATATCTCTTCTGTTACCCTGTTTGTGGTTGAGCTAGCAGAATTACATCAGAGGAGTCTGACCAACTGGCAACATGAAATATTCAAGAAAAATGGTGTGGCTGGGTGAGAGGAGAAGAAAATTAATTCCTTTGTCATGGCAAAGACTTGTGGAACCTTTTATGTATTTATAAACTATCCTGATATGTAAATAAGACCGAAAATTTTGTGACAATACAAATATTGAGTTTTCGGACATTACCCATCATCCTATTTTTATTTAAAACACAATGTTTTGGAGGCTGGATTCTTTCTCTGTCTTCAGGTAAAACATAGTCAACTTTTACATGAAGACAGAGACAGAATCCAGTCTCCAAAATGTTGTGCTTTAAATAAAAAACAGGACAATGGATAATGTCCAGAAACTTAATATCTGTATNCGTCGAAAGACCATTGACCAAATTTCTGAGGAAACGACCATCTGGTCGGCCATCTCACTAATCGCCAAAGGGTTGAAACAGGAACGCACAGAGCACCACAGACAATCCACTTAACTCAGACTGACGCCAGCTCACTAACAGTCGCGGGAGACCCCCAGCTAACACCACCTAGCAGCACAACTCGTAACTAAAAAGCATGCTCGCGCAACAGGTTGTTTCCGGTTATTTTTGGGTCCCCCTTCGTATTCTGATATATCTTTCCTGCACCTAAATGTGCATACCCATGTACAATAATTTGAGTGTTATGTGATTTGTCTTCATGTTACAGTGCAGAATCTGAATAATACAATAGGTCTACTTGATGCAAAAGTTATCAGTATTGGCTCCAGTGTTTTGAAGCGAACTGCTGAAGCTGTAAATGCAAATCTGTTTTCTTTTACTGCAGAAGAATACAGTGACAATATAGTAAGTTGATGATTCTGTGATCTACTTTCCTTCAGTTTATAATGAAAGGTAGGCTGGTATCACATTTGTTTGCCCATATGCACATAATAACTTTTGAACCATTAGATAACATTATTTATGAAAGCTGACATGAACAGCACCCATCACCCCACCTTTATACTTTTAATTTTCTACCATCAATAATATCAGTAAGGTGGCTGTACAAAATTGTGAAGTTGATTCATCACTTAATGTAGTGTATCAGAATGTGACTTGTTAAGAATTTTTCCTGTAGAATATGAAACAACATTATGCTTACATAGAAACTGTATTCATCTTTTGGTTAGATTATCATTACTATTGAACCACTATAGCCACACATGCGAAATTTGGTGTCAACATAGATCACAAACATCATCATCATCATCATCATCATCATCATCATCAGTAATCTGTCAGACGACAGGTCCACAGTCTCTTTCAAAACAATTCCTCCACTTAATGCGATGTAGAGCTTTCTCCTTCAAATGACAGTATCCTCTTCTGTCCCCAAGGTCATCCAGCATCTTCTTACGTCTTCTTCCTCGTCTTCTTGTCACTTCTATCTGCCCATCTATCTTTCCTTCGATAGCTTCTTTTAGAAGGCAGTTTCTGCGTAAAACATGACCAATCCAATTAGCCTTCCGTTTTCTTATTTCATGTAGGATATTCCTCTGCTCACTGACTCTAATTAACACTTCTTCATTTCTCACATAATCGGTCCAACTGATCTTCTCCATTCTTCTCCAACACCACATTTCAAAACTTTCCAGATGTTTCTGATCTAGATCACAAACATACCTACAAATTTTTAATGAAACACTCATTTATGTTAACAAATGAACATGGATACAGTTTGAAAGTTTGAGGTTAAGTCTGACAAAGGGTGAGAGGCATCTACTCTATGGGGTCTGTTAGAAAGAGCCAATGTCATTCTGATGGACCCCACAAAGTAGGTGCCTCTTATCCTTTCGCCTGAGGATGGAAACATGCAGTTTCTGAAATGTTAGGTTCTTTAGAATATTAGGTGATGGACAAAGTTCCAAATCTCTGTAATCCAAAGTGTTATGTACCATCATCATAAACCTTTAGGATTGGCTTAAGATTGGGCCCCATTCAAATGGTATGAACACAGAGGATGGCTTATGCATATGCAAATCATGGGAACCATTGATCTGCTCCATGAAGGTACATAAGAAGCCTCCTTCATAGTTTTTCTGCAATAGCTTGTTCCTCTCATTGCAGCTTTTCCCACAGCTGCTTCCTCCTTTATTTCCCCACTATGTTGCCTACAGCTGCTGTTACTGTACTTCCCATTGGTCACTCATGGAACTTTTCTCTTGTGTTCTCCTTCTCACCACTTTTGCAAATACAGCCCTTACCTGGACCGACAATAGTAACTCTTCTCCTTGCTGCTGTTGGTTCTCTGTCGGCTCCTTTATAGGCCTATATATGACCCAATTTTTCTTCATGCACCTCACACTGCTTGCTTCATGCTGGTTTCATGGCTTACTCTTTGACATTGAAGATGGAGGCAGTAAATGCCTCTGATACATGAGAGAAATTCTACCAAGATACATGTTATCACATCACAGAAGATAGATCTCTTCATAGTCACTGCCATGAGAACCTCAAACTTCTTCCTTCTGATTCATGCAGATGCACTATTTCGAGCTTACAAGACCTTGAAGAAATAAGAATAGCTTATTGACAGAATGATTACATGGACAAAAGAAGGTTGGAACCTGATCCTTTCAGGCTAAGATTGATCTTGCTGGGCAAGCATAACAGAAGTCTCTGTAGACCATTAAAGTATCATAACTTCTGTAGGCTGGCTTCAGATAAAGGGTATTCTAGTGATTTAATGTAACATACAGCCCCTAAAGGCTAAAGGAAACAGAGAATGAACTACTTGTGATTCTGAGGGTCACATGTACCCTGCAGGCCATGTTGAATGTATCTGTACAAATTATTGCTGAGCCATAAATCAGCAGAATCGTTTGTAGGATTTCAGGTTCTCGCATACATACATATATACATACATAGTGTGACATATTTGGACTATGCAGAACACCCCGTCCCCCGCCAGCGGTGACGTAACACCTTCAGAGCGTTGCCGCTGCTATGGTAACAGGCCAGTCAACACCTCGCCCCCTCCTGTGGTGATGTTACCGAGGGATGCCGCTGTTGCAACAGCAGTAAACAACTCTCGACACTGTTGCTAGGCAAATCGGTAAACACAACGTTATGCAACAGTGGTACCTATTATATGTAACTGTTTTCTGTGTTGTCTGTGCCGAGACTAAATAAGGAGCAGCGAACACTATTCAGTAGTTAGCAGTGAGTGATTAGTTAGTGAGTAGTGAGTATTGAGCCAGTTACTAGAGAAAGAGCAACCAGTTAATTGCAGTCTAGTATTTGTGATGCTGCAGATGGCAGTAATTGTGAGTTTGCAAATTGTGTGATTGTAAGAGTGAGTGGAATAAATTCGCTGTATTCAATACAGCGTGAAGTTATTTGTCGTGTGACCTACCCAAACACGTTACAATATGTTTAAGGTCTTTCATTCTGGTCCGTCACACTAACAAATTAACAATCAGGTTCCTTCCGTCAAATGTGACACTTTTTTAAGTTTTCCACCTCGTCACCACCTGCCTTACATGTTTCGGCTCACCACGGAGCCATCATCAGAGGCATTTATAGTAGAAAAAGAAATCACCAACACACAAAACTTCACTTTGTCCAAGATAGCCACGTTCCAGTTAATTAAAANCGTCCCCCTCTGTGTAACCTCTAGCCACACCGGTTGCTGTTACTCTTTACCTTCCTTCCTTTCTCTTGTTGTTCTCACCATTGCCGTCGTTGGTCGTGGAGCTCGCAGCTAGGTCGGCTTTAGCTGGCTCCACCGCTTCTCCAACTCCACCACTTCTCTTCACTATGGAAAGGGTATCCGGTCCGGGACTTGGACTGGATGGTTATGGGCGCCAGCAACTGTGGGTACAGCTGCAAAGTGAAGGGAAAAGGTGGACGGGGTGGGAGCTGATAATGATCGGGCTAGCAGTGGTGGGCGTGAGACTCTGGCTCAGGTCGTTTAGGGCCTTACTCCGACGAGGAGGAAAGAACACACGGGACACACAAACACTTGGCACCACTTAACTTTATTGACTTTTTTTAATCTGCGCGCCTCTGAGATACATTTCAGTGCGTTACTCTACTGTAATTCCACCCGTTGCTCGAACACTAAATTTACTTAACATACGAGTGAGACAGACAGACGCGTCCGGTCAGTTGAACCGTTCTTACGAGCCTCTCCACAGGAACTGACCCTCCGTTTTTGAATATTCAGGGGTCCTGCCAAAATTTGAAGAAGGCCTCATTGTCATCTTCCAAATCTCCGGGTTGGCTGAATTTAGAAGGGGGAGGAGTTCGATAGATTTCTCATTCCTCCACTGGTCAGCTGTTCGCGGCGAGAGTTGGGGTTCACTCACTTTCGCCGTCTTTCTGACCCGGGGTGGATTGAGAGGGTTCAATCTAACGGTCTCCTAAGAGTAGGTCCGTGATGAATCAGGTGTTGTAAATTGGCCCCTTTCCTCTACTAATAAAACAATTCGCTGCTCCTTTCTAAAGGCAGGCTTTAACCTTTGGAGAGTTATGACCGTTAGAGGGCCACCTCTCTCTAGTGACAAAAGTTCTTTTCAATGTCTTTTGGACAGATTCCTCTTATTAGTACATATGGCGCTTTCTAAAAGTAAGGAGAGTGTCGGGCTGGTTTGGGTTTAGTCCGGGGATTGTGACCCGTCATAAACTTTACCATCCCAGAACTGCGAAAGGGTTCAGGTCCCGTTGGTTGGAGTGTGGTGTGAGGTATTGCCTCTGCTTTGATGTAGCGACAAGTACTGACACACGTGAACAAAACATTGTAGTTCTTTGCATTGTGCGGTTACAAGACATCCATGCCTTGAGTGGGATTCAAACCCACGATCCCTGTGTTCAAGTGAGTGAAGACGTTTCATGTCTTAGGTCATAGGGCCATAACTGTTCTCAGTAGACTCCAAATAAAATGGGAAGAAGGTGTGCAGTTAGTTCATGCAAGCATTATTGGAATAAAGTATGGCGACTGAATGAAATTAATTTACATTTTCTATATTTGCAGATATCATACTTAAAGCAAGAGCCCTCTGTAACCAATAATATCAAGTTAATATGTCAGAAATTAGCTCCTATTGCTGCAAAATGTTTCTGCCGCACACCATCTTACATGTACATGTTAGGTACTTTCCAAGTTGGTGAAGTAGCAGTCACTCAGAAGAAGGCACGGAAACAGAGGGAGAAGCAGGAAGAAGGAAGTAGAAAGCAGCCAGAAAACGTAAGTATTGTAAATAAATATTGTCATATGTTTATTGAATAGACATGGGGTTTGGATTGGTAATTGGATTTGTTGAACTTTTACAAGTCATGACTACAAGTAATTACAGGACTCTCGCTAATCCACACATTTGACATCTCACTACAACACTTGCTAAGTCTTATGTATCTTGTCTGCTTTTACCGGTTCTCACGGTCTCTTTGCTTGCGGATTTCTTATATTTTTCCTTCTACCCTGAAGATGGAGGCGATACGTTCCTCCGAAACGTCGGTTAACACCACATATACACAGTGCCAAATCCCAGAAGACTGCTTTCTTCATAGTCACCACTGTGAAAGCCTCAAATCTTACCTTTTGTATCTTCACAGGTTGTTGCCTGATGACAGATCCTAACAATGTCCTCTGCTTCCATCATTGCCAGCTGGCTACTATCTCACAACTAACTACTCAGCTCATTACAGCAGCTCCCTTACTTTCTCAGATGAATAAATTGTCTAGTTTATGTTCACTATATAACCTCAGGGCAGACCCAGTAGGAAACATCACCTCCAAAAGTTTCCCTCTTGTTGTGTGCATATCTGTTGCCACAGAAGCCAACTGGCACATGTTGTTCACCAGCCATTGTGTAGCAGCAGATGGCTTCTCTTGTTAAACTATACCATTGTTATGTCACAGGATCAGCAATTAATTTATAAAGTGTGGACAGCAGCGATGTTCGTATTTTTTTAATTTCAAGCAAGCAGTTGTTAATTTTCACTTTCATTGGCTTCATTGTTTTGTGCCTTTTTTTCTTCAGAAATTTCTTTCTTTTCTGACACAGCTTGTAAACATCATGTGGCTGTGATATATTTTTAACAGATTCTCATGTGGACCACGTACTTCCTTCGTGTATTCCTTCTGTTTCTGTGTTAATGACTTGAAATCCTTGAATACTGTATATGTCTTTTTCTTCTTTTCTTCTTTCTTGGTTTATTTAAATATCCACGATCAGCTGTATAGTTTATACAGAATCATAAACAGCGAATTTGGAAGGACATTGAAGAATGCAGTTGTGACCTATTTTAAGATACTATACAGTGCAGCCTCGATATTACAAGAATTTATATACTTAAGGGAAGTGCTCATTATAGCAGATGCTTGTAATACCTGAAAATGGTTGAAATATGTAACTTCAGGTCCACCCTATAACTTCCATATACATATGAAGGTTATTTGGATTCACTTGTAGCACTCTTACAACAGACCTTTATTTACTTTTCATCATAGTCACAACGATTTGCAATGCACTTAGTGAGCCTGGAAATGAGATTTTTTTTATTCCAGCATCATAGAAATCTCTTAGGCATGTCATCACTGCGTCTTGAACCTCATCTTCGTCCAAAAAAGTGTTTCCTTCAATTTAAAAAACAAGTGATAGTTGCTTGGTGCAAGGTCTGGGCTGTGTGGTGGATGGACCAATACTTCCCACTTGAAGGACTGCAACAACTCTGGCATGACACAAACAGTGGGCGGACAGACATTATCATGCTGCAAGCAGACTCTCGCATCAGCATTCTTGTCCTCTTGTTTGAATAGCCCAACACAGTTTCTTCAGCATCTAACAGTAAGCAGCAGCATTGATGGTGTCTCCTCGAGGCAAAAAAATTATGAGAAGGGGCCCCTTTCTGTCCCAGAAGATGGTTGCCATGATTTTTCAGTTTGATGGTGAGGTTTTGAATTGTTTTGCTGTTGGTGAGTGTGTGTGGCACCATTTCATTCATTGTCACTTATTCTCAGGTGCATGCTGAGATACCAAGTTTCATCTCCTGTCACAGTACAGTCCAGAAAGTTGTCACCTTGACCATTGTAGTGAGAGAAAAATGCCTGTGCTGCAGCCACACAATTTTTCTTGCGATTGTCTGTCAATATTTTCGGCACCCAATACATGCACAGTTTCCAATAGTCTGAACTTTTTGTTAATTTTATGGAGAACATTTCTTGACACTTCTAGACATTGTTGATGATGTTCATCAATGGTTGAACGTCTGTAAGTACGAATGTTTTCATACATTTTTTGGATTATTTTATCAGTGACAACAGATGGTCTTCCACTCTTTATTTCATCATGAACGTTGCTTCTTCCTGCTTCAAATTCATGACAACATTTTGCCATGTTTTGCCTTTTCATAACATCTTCATCATAAACAGAAACAAGTTGGCGATGAATTTCGGCAGCACTTTCTCCTTTCACATAAAGAAATCAAATTACTGCACGAACCTCACATTTGGTGGGGATTTTGAATTGATACGTCCATTTTAAACATATTGTGAGCACATTACTGTGACTGTGACTGTGACCAGTGAACTCTGCCCTGTCATACATTTCATATCTCACATGGCAGCACTCCCATTTCTAAAAAAAAAAGAATCCCCTTGCATTATTACTGGACTTGTATCTTTACTTTCAGAATATCCCTCATATAATGCAGTATGGCATTAGTGTTTGAAAAATAATGCAAATGCATTAATATTACTTATTTGGAGTGGTTATCACAGGGATATCAAAATAATTAGGAATAATTCAGCATTTTTATCCTTAGCATTATCTGAACTAAAGATTTAACAATTTTCTGAAACTTGCATATCTTCGTCTTACATCTGAGCACTGATTAGGAGCCATCCTTTTTGAGTAAAGTTCTGCCCACTATTTGCTGCACACTCACAAGACTCACCTACATTTGACACATAATTTGCTGCATCTGTATACCTGTGAGAATAAATGGATCATCATGTACTGAACAGGAGTAAAATACCAACAAATGAAGCAGTTTAAATCTCGCAGTATTTAAAGTATATGTATTACATTATGAGTTGTTCTGAATGCCACACTAAATACATGCAACTTTTGGGCGTTATATGAAGAAGAAATTGTTCTGAAATCACCATGTTACATAACTGCTTAACTGTCAAATGGTAGTGGCATGTAAACTGTATATGAAACCATGACTGTTTAATTTTCTAACCTAATAGAATTAAGTTTAAGTGACATTAAATTACCATGCATAATGAAAACAGTTCTTTGCAACATATGTGGATAAAATCCGTGCCATCTGTAATTCTTGTATTTAGGGCATCACCCTTGTAGCATGGTCAAACTGAGGTCGTGAAACAAATTTCACCGATACACACTCGTGAAGAAAAGGAGCATCATTTTAGCTCATTTGCAGTCATAACAGTGTGAAATTTTTTTCTAGCAGCAAAGTCATGGCATAGCACCAACAATCATACTCAGTTTTTTCTGACATTAACCTAGTTGTCATGACAACATGACTTCCAGTTGTCACAGTGATGTATGTTGTGACATTGAGTGTTATAACACAAATGTTGTGACTTTATAATTACATGAAAATAAGCCTTTAATTTGCTTGAGTTTTCTCATATATGTTGTCTGTTATTCATAAACAGTGTTGAAGAAGACTTTTGTGTTCTGGGATATAATGTTGTGTAGTCCATTGAATGTCAACCGACATTTTGAGGAATATGTTGCCTCCATCTTTGTAGTCAAGGAATAAGACAAGCAAGACATCAGCAGGTAGCAAGCAAAGTCTGCTTTCTTGCTTAGCTTATTCTTTGTCCCCGAACAAAGAGGTGACATGTTCCTCTGAAACGTTGGTTAATTTTAATGGACTACACAGCATTATATCCCAGCAGATAGAAGTCTTCATAACCATTGGTGTGTGAACCTTAAGTCTTATATAATGTTTAAGAAATTATTCCATCTTGCCTACCTGTTCAGCTTTTAGACATGCTGCTGACTTCACACAGGCATATCATTTCAAGCATCATACTCAAGTCCAAACTTTTCTTTTGTTGCTATACTTATGGGTTTTCAAAATTCTGGCATTGGAACCCACTGAAACACAGAAGATGTATGATGGGGACCAAAGCATTAAACATAATGCATGCACAGTTATATTCTGTGACAGCATCATCCAAGGTCAGTGGGAGCTCAAGAGAATAGAAAACCTGTGTGACAAGGAGGGGAAGATACTGCACAGTGTATCTGTAAACAAGTCAAGTGTCACTATTTACACTGAAACAAACTACTGGACAAATAAGGAAACTTATATGTATATCATGTGATATTTAGTGAAACAAGCTACAAGACAGAGGAAAGTAAGACTACCTCACTTGTTCATTTCTCAGAGTTAACCACTGAGATTCTGAAATCCAAACTTTTTCTGAGAAAAAGGTAGGAAAGTGAGTGGGGTAACAGGACCTCCAGGGACTGCTAGTCATAAGTAAATTTGGAGACAAAACTGTAAGTACAGTTAGTGCAGAACGTTACAGGAAAATAGTGGTAGCTAGTTACGTATCACTCAATATGACAAGGGTGCCCTCGTTTTATGCAGTGATTTTCCATTCGGGTGACAATAAGAAATTGATAGTTCGAGTGAAGTCCTCAGTATAAATCATGCTGTATCACAGTCTCACTGCACATAAGTTCCCTGGCTGGACTGAGGAGAACCTAGAAGAATCTTACAATATCCAATATGTGGGTTGAGATTTGAACCTAATATGAAACAAGTTTTGCATGATGATGACCAACCTGTCAGAATATTTCCATTCCTTTTTCTGTGGATCATCAGTGTAAAAGAAGTGTTTGTCTGCCTGAAGGGCTTCAGCTGGAGATATTGGGTTCAACCGTATTGATTACAGTGGGTATCTATTTTCAGGTGGAACGCATAGAGAAACAAGAAGATGGAGTTGAAGAAACAGTACATTATATTATGAATGTTGTGACTGCAGCATACAGACAAAACAAGAACAAACCAATAAGCTATTTTGAGCTAGTCATCAATCCAGACTCTTTTGGAGCTACAGTAGAAAACATATTCCATGTTTCCTTCCTGGTGAAAGATGGATATATTGATTTTTCTTGGGGTATGTATATTTCTAGTATGTTACAGTTTGCTCACCATTTTGGAAGAACATGCTGGTAGATGTGAGTACAGTGAAGTCTGCATGTCAGGCTTGTTTGTAGGTTAGTGAGTTTAAGCAATATGGTATGATTGAGGTGGCACAACAGAAAGTGATTCCTAAATCCAGAGCATGACCTCTCAAGTATCATAGATGGGCAAAAGTAGTTTAAAGTTAAGTGTCTATATTTCAGCCAGTATACAGTATACGAAGTGTGTTCAAAAAATGACGGGAATTTCCGTATTTTGGAAAAAATATTTATTCATTCGTCTACATTAATGTTGTCGCCTTCAAAATAGTCCCCATTCGATATTATGCACTTACGCCAGCGCTTCTTCCAATCATCGAAACACTTCTCAAACTCGATTTTTGGGATAGCCTTTAGCTCTTTCAGCGATGCGCTTTTAATGTCATCTATGCTTGTAAAACGACGGCCCTTTAAGGTTCTCTTTATTTTTGGAAATAGGAAAAAGTCACACGGAGCCATGTCTGGCGAATATGGAGGCTGGGGCATCGTTACAGTATTGTTTTTGGCCAAGAATTCACGAACAAGCAACGAAGTGTGAGCAGGTGCATTATCGTGGTGCAAAAGCCATGAATTGTTTTTCCACAAATCCGGGCGTTTTTTTCGGATTGCCTCACGCAAACGGCGTTGAACTTTCAGGTAGTACTCCTTATTGACCGTTTGACCTTGAGGCAAGAATTCATGATGCACTATGCCATTAAAATTGAAGAACACAGTAAGCATAACCTTCACGTTCGAACGCACTTGTCGAGCCTTTTTCGGTCTTGGCGATCCAGGATGCTTCCACTGAGACGATTGAGCCTTAGTTTCAACGTCATATCCGTAAACCCATGTTTCGTCACCTGTTATAACACGTTTCAGTAATTCTGCATCATCGTTGACTTCCTTTAGTGATTCCTGAGCAACTTCCATTCGCCGCTGTTTTTGTTCAAAATTCAGCAATTTTGGAACAAATTTTGCTGCCACGCGTTTCATACCCAAAACATTCGAAAAAATTTCATGGCATGAGCCAATCGATATGCCAACATCATCAGCGACTTCTCTGATTGTGATTCGGCGATCATTCATAATCATTGCTTTCACTTTTTCCACGTTTTCATCGGTTGTTGATGTGCTGGGGCGTCCGGGGCGCTCGTCATCTGCAACGTCTTCACGGCCATCTTGGAAACGCTTATACCACTCGTAAACTCTTGTTTTACTCATAACAGACTCACCATAGGCCTTTGTTAACATTTCACACACTTTGTAACACTTTATTTCATTTTTTACGCAAAATTTGATACAAATTCTTTGATCCATTTCTTTTAACAAACGAAAATCGCCAAGCTCATAAAAACACGTCTAACCTTAGCGGCTGCCACAGACAAAGTAAGCAATGAATACAGCTGAAAATTTTATTGTACTTCAGGGGCATGTATACCAACATAATAAAAAAAAAATTTGACAATTGGACTCTCCAAACCCGCGAAATTTTAAAATTCCCGTTATTTCCTGAACACACCTCGTATATCACAGTGTTTCTTTCATTTCACAAATATTTTTTAGCATTTTATTGCTGGTTTTCAATATTCAGCGACTTTCTTATAATGAGACAGCTTGTTCTTTAACATTCAACAACTTCCTGATCCATTTTGCAACAGGCTGGTAAAAAACGTTCTTTCCTTTACCAATTTTATGGTTTACCGTTTACAAGTTACAAAATATGTAATTCTGGCCACTAATTATTCTGGTTTTCAAAGTGATACACTCTCAGGGATTTTTAAGTTTTCTGGTATAGCCATTCTTTTGTACTACTGGCTCTGGCAGAGAAATTCAACTCCTCTCAGGTCCTGTTTACTGGCTGTGACTTTGGTGATTAGGGGGGAAGGTCAACACTCAACACCAATTAGCAGTTTTAAGTCTTTATTCGAATTGCACTATTCAAGTGATAACTGTGCCATGGTGATCCACTTAACTGATTGGTGGATTTAGGCTCCTTAACTAGTCACTAAGACACACTAGTTCCAGAGGAACCATGAAGTATGCATATGGGGATTAGAGGTATCGAACACATGTATCCCCGATAAGTGTAAATTTCAGAGTCCTTCAGCCAAGCACTCTCTGAAGGGTAAACATCTGCCCTGGTTACCCAAAATTCAGGCTAAGGACATCCCACTTCAGATTTTGATTGGCTTGACCAGGCAAGCTGGGAGGCTGCCTAATCCATTTCCTCCAATTAGAAAAATAAATATTCATGGGGCCGGAGTTTAGGAGTGAACTCTTGCCACCTGCTGCGTGGCTGTCAAACTGGAACTTGGGGTAGCATAAAACGACCCTGCTAAAATTATGACTTCCCCTGTCAAAGCTTAGAATTTCTAAAGGACCTGGTCTCATGTTATGCATTAACTTGATGGATTTACTGATGGGCAGCTGGCTTCAAGCTTGACCCAAGCCACCTGCTGCGTGTCTCAGGAGGAAATATCCAACTGTGAGATGAAAGTGAGGACTTTAAGAGAACCCTAACCATACACAAAAAAATCAATTGACTATCCCCTAAACTGGACAGCTATACTGGGAAGTTGTGACCCATATCGGAAAGTTCCCTGACTGTTATTGTTGTAACTATGTTTGTGAAAGAAGATGAGAGGGGAGGACAAGGTCACACTTCCAAAAGCCTGTTACATCAGTCTACCACGTGACACAGCACTGTGAACATGCATTGTGCTTTTTTACTTCGTTTTATGTTTTGTCTGTAATGGAATGAAAAATTGAGCAATGTGTCTGCATCAAGTTTTACGTGAAGCTTGGTAAATCCGCTACTGAAACACTTGGAATGTTTCATGAGGCTTTTGGAGAACTTTCTTTAAGCCAGACAGTGATTTTTGAATGGCATTCACATTTTAAGACTAGTTGAGTGTCGGTTGAAAGTGACAAATGTTCAGGGTGACCAAGCATCAGCAAAAAGTTGAAAACATTCAAGAACTCATCCACGAAGACCATCATTGAACAATCCATGATCTCACGGACACTGCTAGAATTAGTTATGGAGTTTGCCAGGAGATCTTAGCAGAAAATTTGAACATGTGCTGCGTTGCTCCTTCATCACAACAACGTGCCTGCCCACACGTCCCTGAAAACCACAGAGTCTGTGACTAACAGCAACATGGTTATCATTCCCCTTCCTCCCTAGTCACTGGAACTGAAGGGACAACATTTTAAAACAGTGTCTGACATCCAAAGGCAATCAATCACAAGCAATACTCGACAACATTAAGGAAAATTACTTCCATGATGCTTGGTAAAAATGATGGGATAGCTGTATATGTTCCCAAAGAGACTATTTTGAAGGAGATGGTGGCCAAACTTGAGTAAATTGAGCCAGCATTTCTTTTTTAACCTAATCTGGGAACTTTCCAGTAGCACCGCGTATGAAATGTGTACCCAATTTCAAATCATAGTATCATCTGGAGGTATCTTAAGTTATGTGATGAACAGATGGACAGGCTTCCATTTCAGAATTTTGTATGTATATGGCAGATGTAACTCATTGGTCTGCTTGCCTATATCCTGTATTTTATTGTGTGTGTACCTATGTATCTCTATAATTCTTTTGTGGATGCCATTTCACTTTCACAGTATTAATTCCTCTTTGTCATTATCAGTGTGTTAGCTTGGTACAATTTTTTTTAAGATGAAAACAGATTTCCAGTCATTGCACCTGCTCGAAGAGATGTCATAGAAAATCGAAAGAAGTATGATCAAACGAGACAACAGATGGTCCTTGAAATTGATATGAACCAGTGGGAAGTAAGTATTCAGTTAAGTCATAACATACTGGTTTTCACTAAGTGGTGCAAGGAGAACACTATTATATTCACTAATTTTGTGTTCAAAAATGGTAACTTAATGATATAATTTTCTAGGGATATTATATTTTTAATCATTAATAGCGCATAGCTTTCAATAAGGGAAGACAAATGCATTGATAAAATATATACAGCATGAAATATATTTCTCATGTGTGAAACACTTCTCTCTTTTTGTGAATATGTAGTGAAAAATGCTTTGGATAATTAAACATTCTAATAATTCAAAGCATCTGCTAATTCCCACCTGAGAAGATACAATTTTACATGTTTTCAAATGTGGATAGTTGGAAATTCGTTGAATTTGTAATTCAAAGCAATAACCAAGTCCTGTGAGTACTAAGAATCTGAATAGTTGAGCATATAAATGTTCAGTAAACAATTTCTTTTAATAGTATGCATCAGTACAGCATTCCCAAAAGTGTGTCAAGTGCTTGATATTGAGCATGCTGACTCATCTGCATTTTAACCATGTAAATGAATTTCTTCTAGTTCTTTGCAACTTACCCGCATTGTTATAATTATCTAGACCAGGGGTCTCCAAACTTTTCGAAACGCGGGCCACATTAGGTAATTCAGCACTTTCAACGGGCCGGATAAAATGAGAAATTAATAACTCTAGGTATATGAGTTTTATTGAAAGCACAGAATTTCATAAACTAAATACAAAGTATGTGAGAATAAATTATCCTATAATAATGACAACAGACAGTAGCAGCAAATGCTCATATTTTCATCATAAATTATAATAAAACAATTAATGTGAATGATGAAACTCTTTTTGCATTCTTAAAATCTGATTAAATTGAGGTTCAGATTTTGAAACGCTAATCACAAGTAGCGACTTTAAATATTCATCAGATGAATTTGCCCTGTATTTCGACTTGATGTACTTCATCTGGGAAAAAGTTTGTTCACACAGATATGTCATCCCAAAAATGGAGATAAATTTACAAGCAAATTTCTTTAAATTTGGGAATTGCTCAGAGTTCAGAAATCTATAAAATTTGATCAAATTTCCTTCCTTGTATTTGTCTTTAATATGATAATTTTCCTGAAGTTCAGTAATTTCCTTTTGAATTAGACTTGGGACATCTGCAGCATCACAGTCAAATGGATTTTGAAGCAATCCAATTTCCTGAGCACTGGCATCCAAATCAGCAAATCGCTTCCAAAATTCAACATTCCTCGCTACCAATTCTCGGAACAGTTAGAGCAAAACTGGGCATAAGTTGCCTTTAATACAAAAATGGTAATAAGTACGACACCGGCGGTGATGATCTGTTACAATTACACTGCACCACTGCAAGAAGTCTTGTGCACAAGACGGCTAGTAACGAACTGCTCGTGCTACCTGCATTGCCATGAAGTGACACTGCTGATCGAGGCCAAACAAGTGCAAAGAAATACCGCACAGTATGCGGTCCAGAATTAGTAAAATTGTGAATAATATTAATATTAACATAATATGGAATATCAATATATTTGAAACACAATCTTAATTAATGGATTTGAAATCTATGAACAAGTATTTTTTTACCAGTACTCATTGGAAAATTAGTTCAATTGGCGCATTTCTGCACAATTCTTTCGCTGGCCGGATGTGGCCCGCGGGCCGTAGTTTGGAGACCCTTGAGTTAGAGTAACAGCTTAAGGCAGGAATAGGTATAGGCCGACCCCACAACACTTTTCAAGCTGGGTGCAGTGATTCTGGGATTTCAAATTGATAGAAAATTGCTTTTTGCTGGTTGCCCTTCCATTTTCCTCTGATCTTGAAAAGTTCCACTTGACTGACAGAGATGAGTAGCAGGAATCTTCTTGGGGGTAAGTGGCGGCCAGCACATAAGGCTGACAATCTCACCGCCAACTGTGAGTCAGTTGTCTAGAAAATGTGGGACCCTCAACATCTCACAACCCATTGGGCCTCCATGGTCTGTTACAGGGATAGCTTTATCTTTTTACCTGAAATATACAATGAGTATATTCAAATACTTTTCTTCATAAGCAAAGTTATAGCTCTAGTACTTAGAGGTGACAGTCCTCCGACGCGGGGTAGGAGAAGTATTGGTAGTGGCGGGGAGAGCTCCAGCATGCCGACAAGTGTGGCGGGGAATGCAGTACAGGCGTTCTCAAAAAGATATAACTTCTTACCTCATTGTGTTGCATAGTGATGGTGGTTTATTCTCGTTGATGTTCACACATCCGATGTTAAGTTTTACGTGCTGAATGGCAGACTGTTATGCACTATACATTATTATACACTTTTCACTGTTATATACATGAAGAGTTTATTTACAAATTACGCGGGTCTATTTTAAAGGGGCAACACCGGCAGTGTCTGATTATTTTTTGTTTTCTTCCAGTGGAACCCCAGTTTCAAAATAATTTTCTTTGATGTGGAGATGCATCCCTGAAAATGTAACATTTTCTTCAACTTTTCGTGAATTTTTTTCAGGGTAGGTCTCCATTTTAGGACTGTGTAGAAGTCATTAATTGTTCTTCGAACCACAGACTCATTAAAGTCATCCAAAGTGGCTAGTAGAGATTTCGTAGCTCTTTCTTTATGGGGTGTTGAAAAGGAAGTGGAAGCCCCAGATTTGATATTATTTGTTTCTCTTATTATTCTTCTGACACTACTTTCCGATACACCTGCTGCCTTTGCTACTTCCACTCCTATGTTCTTCACTTAATTGTTGGCCCAGCCTCTTTCACATACTTATATACATTACTAACAGTTTCTCTTAATTGTGAATGCAACACTTTCACACTCAATTTACTTTGTGTAGGTGACATGTTAAAGGAGATAGAAAATGTACAAATATAAATAAACAAAAAAGAAAATCAATTAATAAAAATAAACAATAAAATAAAATATTGTCACGTGTCACCGCATGACTTCTGGCCCAATACTTCAATGCGACGTCTCAAGTATCTTTGGCCATGGTTGGATCTCAACTGTCTTCGGCGACAGCTATTCCAATACTGACTTCTTGCTGTCTTGTTGCTGTCTTCTGTCTCCTTAGCTCTCGGTTTATGTAGGTGTTCTGCGGACTGGATACCAGACACCATTCCTCACTGTTTCATTTCTACCATCTGCTGTTATGTAACGGTCGCAACAAACTCTCTGTAGTTCATTTCTGGGGAGATGCGTTCGTTGCTTCTGCATTGTCTGTGCAACGGCTTCCTGTTCTTTGCGTTACCATGGAAGTGCCTGTTCCAAACTCAAGTGTTTGGCAATCCGTTGCCTCAGGAGACCTCCTTCGCAACGGTCTGTTTTTATTCGATTTGTCTCTGTTGGAACTCAACAATTTCCGTTGTAGCCGTTGCGCAGCGATGGACGTAAGGTAACGCATCACAATATTAATACAGTAATTAGAGAATAATACACTCAAATATGACCCCAAGAGTCAAAACTTTTTAACTTGACTGTACAGGAAGAATGCTCTTCAGACGTCACCTCACACTGAATGCAGACGAATGACTAATCACAACACCCCTCAGCTTTCACGAATGGACCTGCCCATCCACGGCGCAGCTTTTCCTAGACTATCAGCTCTAAGTACTAGAGCTATACTTTTTTATTGGTCGACTAATTTTTATTTGATGAATGCATGCTACATGATTGGTGTTCTTATATCCTTCTTAAGTCACTTATTATGCACTCTTAATTTTATCTACGAGGGTTGGAACTTTAATAGTGGCAACTATTTATTTACAACTGATACAAAATAGATGCATGTTTCAAAGTTTTACTGTCCTTCACTGTAGTCACCAGCATCATTGCCGACGATGTGGAAGTCATAGGATACCTTTAGCAGCGCCTGTTGTGTTGATAGTTCGAATGGAGCGGTCTACTGCCTGAAGAATCTCTGGAACAGTTCTGAAGTGAATGCCACAAAGTGGTTCCTTCATCTTAGGAACCAAGTCGAAGTCACAAGGGCTTAAGTCTGGGGAGTATGGTGGATGGTACAGCACTTCCCAGTCTCATCGATCGAACAAATCAGCCACAGCTTGCGCTTCATGCGGCCGAGCATTGTCCTGCAAAATGATGGGTGGGTTCTGCAGAAAGTGACGGCGCTTCTTTCTCAAAGCTGGTCACAGGTTGTGTTCCAAAAATGAACAGTAATACTGCGTATTGATGGTCTGCTGTCGGGGAACGATATGTGTTATGATAACACCATCACAGTTGTACACGAGAATCACCATAACTTTCACGTTGCTGAGGTTCTGATGAACTTTTGATTTTCGTGGTGACCCATAATGATGCCATTCATTCGATTGGCGTTTCATTTGTGGCTTGTACGATTTGGCCCATGTCTCATCCAGCGTAATGATACGGCGTAAGAAAGCCTCTCCTTTGCGCTCGTAGCACTCCAAGTGGTTACAAGCAGTGTCATATCATAGCCACTTCTGCATTTCCATCAAATCACGCGGAACCCATCGTCATGCAATTTTTCTCACACCCAGGCTTTCCTTCAGAATGTGAAGCACAGTCATATGTGCTAATCCTGTCTCTCAGGCCAGCTCAAGAATTGTATGGCGTCGATCACTCTCCAGTAACATGGAAAGAGCATACACTTCTTCTTCACTGACATTAGGATGACCTGGCTGACACATGTCTGCCACATTTTGGCGTCCATCATTGAAGGCTTTTAGCCACCTTGCCACTGTTCTGTAAGGCAATGCAGATTCCCTGCAAGCTTCTTGAAGACCTTGATGACACTGTCGTGCTGTACGGCCTCCAGCACATTCAATCTTTATCCAACTCAGTTGTTCCTGTTTCGAAAATGTGACAGCCCTACATCAGACCTCCAGCTGACACGAGGCTCACTTCTTCTCGTCTCTGCGCATGCACATGATGTGGGAAGGGAGAGTCCATTTGCTCTGAGGCAAGGTAGGTATGTAACTAACGTGTGGTGTAAATGACATTATTTGGTTCCATTGCCTGGCGTCTCTACAGCAGTGTTGCCACTATTAAAGTTCCAACTCTCATATGTGTAAGCAAGATACCTGAAATAAACATGCTGGTTTACATCACTAAAGATGTATTGCCTATAAAGCATACATATGCTGATGATATGGCTTGCTAGTTAAAATGATTGCCATCCCAGCCTAAGAGCAAACATTACATGCAGCTGATGGCTTGTTGACTTTATAATACAGTAAAACTTGGTTATAGCAACATCGGTTTCTGCGACACCTTGTCTATTGCGTCAAATATTCAATGGTACGAACTAATCCCTCATAAAGCAACTGTTTTTATACCTTGCTTAGTACGACATGCACAAATGCATCAACCTCGTATGTAACGTCATTTTCATTCCTGAATTTCTTTGATATGGACATTGAACGTAATTTAGAAAGTGTGTATTGGGCAAGTAACAGGAAACAGATGAAGATAACTGATTGCTGTACTCGTATCTAGGTACAGTAAGGCACAACAATTGATGTAATCTACTGTAATTTGGTGAGTAGGCCTACCTTTAATATACAGTATTAGTGCGGTGTGTATTGTCAGTGAAAAGCGCTGTAATCTGTCTTTGATATTACACATTTGGGCAATTCCACGTTAATGTTACGTTAGTCTGTACTTAACTACGTATTTCTCTAAAAAATGCAACATTTTAACTCAGTTTTTGGTAGATTTTTACGTGACTAACATAAGGCTACTGTGAAAGTGCCCATTTCGGTTACAACGACATTCGTTTATAACGACACCATTTTTAGGTCCCTTTGATGACGTTATAACCAAGTTCTACTGTATTTGAAATTGTTAAAACTAGCTGATTTACCTAGTGTTGCCAGGGCATAATGCACAAGTAAATTAGAAAGGGTAATACACTGAAAAGTTATATTGTTCAACCTAATGATGTTAATATAAAATAAAAAAGTATGTTACATTTATGGAAAATTGGAAACTAATGTCTCAAAAATCATAACAGATTGACATGTAGGATAACCAGGGCATTTCTTATGGGCTCTATTGAATGCAGAATACCTTTATATGCTAGAACAAATGATTCTCAGCAGTAAGCATAAAACTGTTCCAGTGGGGTTTCCAAAATTCTTTTTGGATACTTAGACAAAAAAATTGTGAAAATTTACAGCAGGTAGGTCCTCTGCCACATGCTGAATTTGGTCACAATATGTGTAATAGTGTGGAGAGCACTAACATACACATTCTTCTCTTCATACATGTACACAGAGTAGTAAGGTGTAATTTTTGTTTTATTCCTTTTCAGGAACTGAAGAACACATTTGCAATTAGACGTGCAATGTTAAACCCAAGAAACATCACTGCTGCTCAAGACTCACATCATTGACATGCACATATAAGCCTTATTTCCTTGCTCCCACTTTCATTCCTCCCTCCTCTGCCTTTTTTAAATTGTGAAATAAGTGTCAAAAGTAAACACAGAAGTGGGCATCATTTACACATAAAAATAGCCACAAAATCTGCAAGAATTTGATTTGTTATAATATACAATAAAACTTGGTTATAGCAACATCGGTTTCTGTGACACCTTGTCTATTGCGTCAAATATTCAATGGTATGAACTAATTCCTCATAAAGTAACTGTTTTTATACCTTGTTTAGTACGACATGCACAAATGCATCAACCTCATATGTAACGTCATTTTCATTCCTGAATTTCTCTGATATCGTGGGAAAGTTCGATGTGTCTGCCCACCCTCACTTTCTCTACTTGCTGACGTGACTGTCCTGGAAGAATACGACCGCGGGCTGCAAGAGGAGCGTGGGTTTTATGCGAAAACAAGGGTGTGGGGTGGGACTGCGTGAATAGTGCAAGAGGATGTGGCAGGTTGTTAACTGCATTCCTTTCCTAGAATCTCGTCTAACAGGACCTCACATTGTCTACTTACCCTATAGCGTTCCTGCCTAAACCCAGAGAAGTGCAGTAACGAAAACATGACAATGAAAACGAAAGTTTTAAGCATTGAAGAGAAAGTTAAAGTGATTCGTGAAATAATGTGTGTATTGTCAGTGAAAAGCGCTGTAATATGTCTTTGATATTACACATTTGGGCAATTCCACGTTAATGTTACGTTAGTCTGTACTTAACTACGTATTTCACTAAAAAATGCAACATTTTAACTCGGTTTTTGGTAGATTTTTACGTGACTAACATAAGGCTACTGTGGAAGTGCCCATTTCGGTTACAACGACATTCGTTTATAACGACACTATTTTTAGGTCCCTTTGATGACGTTATAACCAAGTTCGACTGTATATATAATATATAATATAATAATTTGATTCTGTTGACTAGAGTGAAAGTATGGGAATTCAGGAGAGACTGGAGAGAAAATTCTTCATTTTGTACAACAGTGCTGAGATCTTCCATTGCAGCTCCAAGAAAATATTGCCCTCTGTATGGTCACAACCAAATGCTTGCATTGCATCTTAGGTGCTTTAAGGAGTGCCATACAAGAGCGCGATTCAGTTAGACAAGGGGGGGGATATATATACATCAAGAAGATAACAAAAATGGGGTACATGCATTTAATACATTTAAAAATAATTGTATATAATTGTGCTTTTACTTCTACTAGTAGGGTTTAAACACCTCAATAAACAAATATGTGTACTTCCCACAAGTAAACAAAAATGTTACAGCCCAACCCTTTGTCTTATGAAAGTTCACAGGTTTATTGCTGATGCAATTGTTGCTACAACTGCTGCTGTTCTTACAGCTGCTAGTGGTATTGCTGCTATTACTACTAGTGATCATCCTTGGAAACTGTCTGTTATCTGTTCCTTGTTCTTAAAATACCACCCATCTCACACAACCTAATCTCCTCCCTCCCCTGCCCCATTTACTAAGATTTTCAGTCACCCTTGTGACCCTCGCTGCTATTTAATGGTAGCGTTTCTAACTATGAACATATCTAATCGAATAAACTGTTGCAAATTTCCGCGGGTAGGCTGTCACTGTATTGAATTGGACGACTTCCAGCTGCATTTCATCAGGAATTTGACCTTGCAATTATTGTATGAGACACCAAATAAGTGATCGTATAAGATTACCTTGCAATGTTCAGTCAAAATGGAGACTGCTGAGATCAAGCCACTGCTCTCTCCGTTAGACACTGGCTTGTTGTGTGTGTTTAAAAAGTTTCAACTGTAGGGACTGTTATCAATTTTATGGGCACCTTCTATTTTATTGCATACCCGTGGACTGAATTATTCCAGTTTTCTAATGTGACCAGCTAATAATCTTTACTATGCTTTGCACTACATGGGTAACCCTTTCAAGAATAACATGGTGCTCACAACAGCTTTGCAGTGCAATTAACCCAGGCAGTTGGACTGCACTGAAGCAGCAAGCTTACACATACCGGCCACTTCATTTCCCAGTACACAATGTCGCTGTTGCTTGCACTGTCTTGCTCCACAACTTTCAAATTAGTTGCAGTGTTGTCCAATGTCTTGTGGAAGTCTGTGTCAATTTGCACTTTCAAGAAGTCTTTGGCAGCAACATCATGGTATTTCCCATACACTACAAACACATCATATAAAGAACTCTAGTGTGAAAGCAATATCTCTGGAGTAAACAGAATTAAAGTACTTGACATTTTAAATTACTGCCAGAAAAGTTGCAAGTATTTTTGTATCTTAACATACTGCAAATGGGTCATGTCAGAAGCTGTGATTTCTGTGTTGAGCATTGTATATTGTGTACTGTATGTATATATGCTACATATTTATTTTTTCATGCATTCATTTTTACTGGAGTTTTATAATTTAAAAATAAACTGTTCTCTATATTGTAGTTTTTTTTCATAATAATACAGATTATAGAGGGAGGATTTTTACTTTGTTGACCAGTTCCATGGCTCCTCATGGCATCCAGTTCACTGCTTCCTGCAAGACACATACAAATTTTGCTGATAAATCAGCATGCCTGACAGCCGATAATGTTTGGATGAAGGGAAATTCTTACCTTTGTTCACAGACCACAGGAGGTGTTGAAGATGCTGCCCTTCTACATGTAAGACATTCCTTGCACCAGTGGAAGAGGTTCTGCAGAAATATTTGCAGTTTCCCTACAAATATTTTCTTTTAGTTCTTCTTATGTTTGGGAGTTTCTGTTGTAAACTTTGTCCTTCAAACAACCCCAGAAGAAAAAAAATCACAAAGATTAAGATCAGATGAACGTGCTGGCCAAATACCACTGCTGATAATTCTGTCCCTGATGACATTGGACAACACTTGCATAGATATACGTGCAGTGTGGGCAGCAGCTAAGTCTTGCTGAAACCAACCCTAGAGTCCTACATTTTTGTTAACTCTGGAAAGAACTGCCTGAGAATGACCTGCACATGTCTTTTGCAATTGTTTCATTAAAAAAACAATTCCAACAATCCTTGCACTTACAGCACACCAGACACCAACTTTCACTTAATTGAGTGGGACTTTGTGGATTAGATGTGGATTCTGTGAACTCCAGTAGTGATAATTTGCATATTTATGTATCCTTGCAAGTGAAACCATTCTTCATCAGAAAAGAATGTCAATTGTAGATTGATCTCACCTTTGACGACAGACTGTAGAAACCAACTGCGAAAATGAACCCTGCTAGCTGGATTATGTGGCTGCAAGGCATGGATTACTGTTCTACAGGGTCTAAGCTTCAGCAATTTTGTTGCCATTCTTGCACTAGACTTTGACACTCCAGTCTCTTGAGCTAGATGTTTCAGTGATTTTGGAGGTGTATGTTCAAATGTGGCCCCTGTGTCATATAACTTCTCCTCAGTCAGCACTTGGCACTTATGTTTTGTTTCTTGTCTGTTAAGCACAGGGACTTTACCTATATATATACATATACATATATTGTCACGTGTTGGCTGTATGACATGACAAATGACTTCACACCGGTCTTGGATCTAGAGAATTTATTGCACACTTTTATCCACACTTACACAATTCACAATGTCAGTGTCCCAATTACTTCTTCTGCTACAGTCACTTCCAGACTTCAGCTGTCATTGGCAGCTGCTATATTTCAATTAAACTGTCTCAAAGTCAGAGTCAGAGTTACTTTACAACTAGCTGGTTTAACGCAAATCAGTTTGTCTTGGCGTCAGGCCCCTTGAGACCCACGACCAGAGATTTTTTTTTCAACTGAAATCTTGCGGTAATAGTCCTTATGTAACATGCTCTCTGACAAGAAGATGGATCTGTCTCTTATGAATACACTCAACCTTTCGTCAAGTATATATTTCGCACATATAATATGTTATGGAAAACTCTTCCTTTTACTTTACAGAGCAGATCATGCCTAACTTACATTTCTTATGTTACAATGAAAATTTAGTTATTTGAACGGTCATAAGCTTGACCACCACCAAGTTAATCCTCTTATATTTTCTGTGTCTGACTTCACCTTGTCCTATACTGCAAACATGTTCATTATCATGATTTTGTATGACTTCTGCTTGTCATCTGCACAATTTTGTTATATAATTGTATACACACGGAAATTTGAAAACCGCGTGCAAGTCGCGGACTGGTGTACACCTTGGAAAATTTCCAGTGGTACGCAAAACCTTGTTTTGCATGCACTGCAATTTTAGGAGGTAGTGTCTGCCGCTAATTCCCAGGTGGGACAAGTCATTACTGATCTGATCAGTGCCTTATAGAGGAATAGTTTAAATGCTCACTTTTGAATAGGGAGTAGATTCTAATAAATGTTCTGAAGGCCTTGGCTTCAATCATTTCTATGTGAAGTCTGCACATAATCCTCTTATCAAAGATTCCGCCCATGTATTTTACATGATTGATGAAGGGGATATTCTGCCCATTCAATGTAAGATGAGCCTGAGGGGGCCTAAGTCTATGAGAGTAGTAGATTGCCCGAGTTTTATCTTCATTGATTTTTATGTTCCAGCGATCACACCACGTCTCAATAACACTGAGACCTTGCTGCAGCTTTCTGAGAACATAACTCTCAATGCGTTCTGTCACATATATACAGGTGTTGTCAGCAAAGAGACCTACGAGTAGATAGACACCAGGCGTTTGGGGCGTATCGTTTATACATAGACTGTACAGTGTGCGGAGAGAACAGAACCTTGTGGCACTCCTGCTTGTATATCCCTTGATGTACACATTTCGCCTTCGACTGAAACTTTGAATTTTCTCTGAGAAAGGAAAGAGCTAATAAGTTTGATTACACATCGAAAATTATAATGTAGATAATTTATATAGCAAGCCAATATGCCATGTTATGTCAAGGGCCTTTTCAAGACTCCCGAACGAATCGAGACTCTATCACAAGTTGGTGAAATTAGTTTCAAAGGACTCTGCGAAATTAAACTATAAACACAAGTACATAACATTATGAATCAATGCTATATGTTACCGTATCATGCATTACCTCTTTCAAAACTGCTGGTAAAATGAAAAATTATCAGTTGGCAACAATGACAATCACGGATTAATGAGAGAGAATGTGTAAAAGAGTTGAGTTAAGCCTTTGAAGGCGGGAAGTTAGCGTCAAAATTTTTTGTTAATTGTTCGTAGTGAACATTTTTGTTTGTAGTACTCACAGAGATCGGTGTAGTGTCACGTGAATATTTCTGTCGGTTTTCTCAAAGCATACTTGCGGCTCCTATATCGAAGGTTACTGTGTGAATGCATTTTCATTCTGTATACGTGCGGTCCCGGCTAGAATGAGGTTAGTTGTAATTTGAATTGAATTGAATTGAATTTATTTACATTCTGTGAATCCTAAGCAGGTTAGTACCTTTGGATACAGAACAAGTCAAAAGGTTACATACATAAGTACAGGCAATTTTAGCTTAAAAATTAATATAACTTAATTTTACATCATTCTCTATTTACATTGAAGTATTCATCTAAAGAGTAGAAGGAATGAGCATGTAGATAATTCTTTAACTCTGATTTAAACTTTTTAGTATCATTGCCCAAGTTTTTAATACTTTGTGGCAGATTGTTGAACACTTTTATGCCAGTAAAGTAGACTCCTTTTTGATATACTGATAAAGTTGATGAGGGTAGGTGGAAGTTATATTTTTGTCTAGTATTCATGTTATAGACATCAGAATTTAATTTGAATTTATCTTTGTTGTAAACAACAAATAGGAGAAGCGATAATATGTATTGCGATTGAAGAGGTAGAATTTTTAATTTCTTAAATAATTCTCTACATGAATCTCTACTTCTACATCCTGTAATGATTCTAATTATATTCTTTTGTATTTTAAAAATTATTACACTATGTGAAGAGTTCCCCCAAAATATTAATCCATAGTTCATAATAGAATGAAAGTAGGCATGGTAAACCATCTTCAATGTTTCCTGTGACATAAAAGGCTTAATTGATCTCATCGCATAGCAAGCTGCATTTAATTTAGGTATAATTTGTTCAATATGTATTTTCCAAGACAGTGTACTGTCTACATGTATTCCAAGGAATTTTGTATCAAGTACTTTACAGATTAATTTGTTGGCATAACTGATGTCCAGATCAATTTGGTGGTTGTTTTTAGTTGTGAATGATATGTAATGGGTTTTATCAAAATTTAATGAGAGTAAATTGGCTTCGAACCATCTGTTTAAGGCTTCAAATACAATATTTATGTCATTTTTAAAGTTGTCAAATTTAGAGTTCTTAAATATTATACTAGTGTCATCTGCATATAGAATTGGTTTAGATTTATTGTTGATGGTTTTAGATAGATCATTTATGTAGAGAAGAAAAAGTAAGGGACCTAAAATTGATCCTTGTGGAACACCGTGCTTTATAATTCCCCAGTTTGAAAATGCATTATGACTGGAGTTTTTATTATTTATTTAAACTCTTTGATACCTGTTTTTGAGGTATGATGGTAATGTTATTTTGAAGGTAATATAAGAGTCTAGATATTGTCATAGTAAGAAAGAGCTGCGTGGCTTTGATTGTAGTAATGTAAGTATCAGAATGATAGAGTCTGGTTCGAGTTCCGAGCCCCGATGGGTTTTAGAATTTTATCCACGTCGTCCAGACCGGATCTGGGGCCACCCAGCCTTCTATTCAATAGGTACCGGGGGGGGGGATGTTATTTCCCCGGGGGTAACGCTGCCGGGTTGTGAAGCTGGTCACTCACAAACTAATGCCAAGGTCAAGAAAACGTGGATCTATATACGCACTCCCCCCATACGTCTTCATGGCGTAGTGCTTAATTAGTTAAAACACAGGGACAGCTTTATCTTTTACCTTAGAGCGAGAGTTATCCTTTTATGGTTAACTATCAGTATATGGTATCATGTGCTCAGGTGACATTCTTGCTTTGAAAATGTACTGCCTGTCAGTGCTGGTGTAGTTGGCTGGCACAATATGGGAATTGGCCAAAGGATGTGGTATCACAAAAGACCAGAGGTAAGGGGATGTTTATCTTGAAATTTGAAGGTGTATAATTCAGAAGAGCTGAGGTTCATGCTTTAAAGTAGAGATTTAGTGTGATACAACAAAACTTACAATTCATGCCACAGAATATCAGTTACTGTCATCTGTATGCTTCCTCTGGAACTTGACAGTCCCATATTGGTAGTCTGTGTTGCAGATATTTCAGAACAAGAACATCATGGTACACTTACCACTATATTCTGAATGTGTGCCCTTCTTGGTGTCTTCTGAATTGCACACTCTGTACCTTAAGGGATATTTCTTTTGCCCAGCTCACAGGTTCTTCCAGTAAATTCGCCATTATGTTCCAAGTTAATTTTGATGGTAGTTCATTATGTAGGGCACATTTTCTTGATCTAGAGAATAATTTGTTTTTTTCTTAACATCCACAACTGTATCATAAACCTTTTCCCTCTCTACTTCTGGGGTTTCTCGTAGGATTGAAGAATGTGTATAACCTGTATAAATTGAAAGACCACAGTTCACAGGTATTTTTAATGCACTCTCTCTTTCAGATATTGTTGCAATAAGATGGGTATCAATTTATTCTGTCAACCCTTTTGTGTATGTGCACTGACATAGTTTCTAAGTTTTTACATGCCTTAGAAACCCAACAAGTGTGACATGAAGTTATTCATTCTAGCAGAAACCAGGACTGGGTACATATGGATTTTGAGGTATACCATGGGAAGGATCGCACACGTGGTAGCATAGTTGGTTGAGGAACTATGCTACGAGCTGGAAGGTTATGAGTTCGGTTCTTGATTCTTCCAGCTGCGCTGTGGCCCCGGCATTGACTCAGCCTTCAACAGAAATGAGTATCAGAAATTTTCCTGGGGTTAATGGGCAACTGGCTTGTAAGGCCGATAACATTACTCACTGCCATCTGTGAGTTTATTGTCTATAAAATGTGTGAGCCTCGATGTCTCACAGATCTGCAGGCCTGTATGGCGTGTTAACAAGGATAGCTTTACCTTTCTTTTTCCTTCTTTTCTTCCCCCCTCCCCCCCTCCCATTCCTATGGGAAGGGCCCTGAACAAGATAGCAGTGGTGTTGAAGTAGTAAAGCACTTGTTGGGTCAACTGACCAACGAAGGCTACACCGTTCATTTTGAGCGTTTCTACACCAGTGTTCCACTTGGTGAAGAGCTTGCAGAAGTGAACACTGGCCTTGTAGGGGCAACATTGAACTCAATAAAAGGATTGCTGAAAGCTCTAAAGGAGGCAGAAGTAAAAAAGGGTGAACGGGTATTGCACCAGAAGGATAATGTACTTGCCATGCTGTGGAGAGACAAGAGGGACATGTGGATGCTGAGCAGTAGGCACACTGCCCAGATATAAAAGACTTCCAACAGGCAAAGGAAGGAAAAGATTAAACTGTTAGCTGTTATTGACTGTAATGAACACAAAAGCAGGAGTGGATCTATATGAGCACATATTGTCATACAGGGCTGTGGGGCACAAGACGGTGAAATGATGAAGGCAGTTATCCTTCCATTGCAGTGTTCTGGCAATTTCTAATGCCTGTCTCTTGCACAACACTATAGAAACTAAGGAACTTAGCACATCTAACTTTGATTAGTGAATGTGTGGTAACTTGGTGTTGGCAGTGGATGGCATGACTGTAGGTGACAATTCAAATTCAAGATTTTCACACATTTTACAGAAACACACTACACAAGGTTCCTCTCTCTATGGGGAAGAAAAAAGCACAGAGGAGATGAATTGTGTGCTCTGATAAGGAAAAATACTTACAGGCAAGGGTTGGCCGCGTCATAGCTCAAGCAGTTAGTCGATGGCTTCCCACTGCGGTGGCCCGGGTTCGATCCCAGGTCTGGTCAAGTGGGATTTGTGGTGTACAAAGTGGCAGGTTTTCTCTGAGTACTTGCGTTTCCCCTGCCAGTCTTCATTCCACCAATTGCTCCACAATCATCCTCACCTATCATCTGGGGCTGTTACAATAGGCGAGAAGTGGCCACAGTACAAGGGACTTAGTCCCACCCCACTAGCAATTAAAAAAAATACAATCAAGGGTGGTACAAAAGATCCTTCTTGTCAATATACCAGTTGAAGTGTTGGAGTATGTATCAGCCCTTGCCTCACAATGTTTTTTGCACAATGATGGATTATGAAAACATTAAACACAGGTGTATGTATTTATAGTTTGTTTTGATCTTCACTGATGTAATAGAAACTGTTATTTGTGTGCATTATAGTGTAAATAACTTTTCCTTTTTTATTTGTGAAATTAGTAGTGCATCAGTGATCATATTTTACAATTTAATAATATCTATGTGTCCAAAATTTGCATAAACATATTTGAAAGTGCCCTGCATCAGAGTCTAGTTTAATTTATTTCTTGTCTTTATTCAGAATTATTTTCCAGTCTCTTGACAATGATAAGAGGTAGTGGAAATTGGTCAGTGCTCAGGGTTAGGCTAATGTCTGTCTTGAGCATTGCACGTATTAAAAGAGAGATGATTATGCTGTTGATTTTCATTGGCTGTAGTTTTGCTATATCCTATCTGCAGCAAGAGACCATGTGTTTGCCCAGATTCCAAAAAAACAAACCCCAGAATGAAATCTGGAAAATTAGTCACCAACCAAGACCTTTCAGTCAACACAGATTACTAGATTGCCATATTTTTTGACCTGTCAGTGTTGTGTTGGCTTTGATGGCTTCATGCATGCATGCTAGAGAGGGAGGTGGGGGGAGAAGGATATGTGAAATGTTAATTTAGTCCATGCAGATGAATGCAGATACCAACAGCCTGCTGAGAATTCATATTACTGAATGTCAAAATACAAATAGGACAGACTATATGACCAGATGTCTGTGTATTTGCTAATAAATTGAAGTAGCTACTTTAACTGTGATGGAACTGAGACAGTAGAGAAAGCCCTGCAAAGTTGCATTGATTAGAGTACATTTCTTTAGCTGATTAGCATTGTGAGTGTTGATAACAGCTTCCACTGTTACAAACTCTTTTTCATGTAGAAATCATTAGGTTTGTTTTGGGTAGTTCTTTGTTAGGTATGCACAGAGTAACACAAAACAATAAAATTAATGTAGGTACACAAAAAGAAAATGCCTTTGAAGAGTGTGAATGGAATGAGATGTTTATTTATTTATTCATTTGTTTTATTCTTTTGACTGGACAGACTAAAAACATTTGTGGGATCTGCCCACATTCAAGCAAATGTGACAATGCAAGTATCATTGCTTAGCAGCAACGAGTAAACAGCTGTTGCTAGGCAAAGCCTACAACAATACAGGCAGTGACGTGTGTTCTGTGCTGTCCAACGCAGTGTTATATTTGAGGAATATATATGGCGATATGGTGGTGTGGTTGTTGCAAGCAGTAATATTGTTGGTACTGTACTATTAGACTTCAATTCTTCAAACCCATGTTTGTCTGTGTATACTGTGCAACTGTAATAAATATTTTAGAACAGTTCAACGAGTGGTTGTCTCTTTATATAACGACATTCCACATTGGTGACCCCGACAATACACAACACAAATAATGGACAGCGGTCGAATAGAAGACCTCCTTCAACAGTACGTAACACAGATGGAGAATTTACTAGGCAAACTACATACCAGACAAGGGCAGGAAGACCAAATGGAAGAAAAACAACATGATGCCAGCATTACAAACAGACCAGTACCAACAGAGACACCAAGAATTGCCTTGCAGCTTCTGCCATTTTGGGCCGACAGACCAACAGTTTGGTTTGCTCAAGCCGAAACACAGTTCACTTCGGCCAGTATCAGTAACAAGAAGACCAAGTTCTGCTACGTGATCTCACAGTTGGATCAGCGTTACGCCTCAGAAGTAGAGGACATTATCACCTCTCTGCCGAAACACGACCCATACATAACGCTGAGAATGGAACTGGCAAGACGCCATCCCCCTCAAAAGAGCATCGCATCCCCGAGCTCAGAAGACATGGGCGACCGCAAACCTTCCCAGTTTCTAAGACACTTCAGAAGCCTCGCCCCAGACATGCCAGATGACTCCATAGCATCTGGTCCAACCGACTACCTTCTCATATAAGGGCCGTCCTCGCAGGCCAGCCCCATCACTTGGCTCCACCAGGCCTTCAAAAAGTGCAAGGCAAGTTTGTCACGTGCCACTCTACTGGCACACCTCGACATGTTCAGGCCACTTGCACTTGTCACAGATGCCTCCACGTCCACCATGGGTGCCGTGTTGCAGCAACGCGTCAGGAACCCCTGGCAGCCCCTCACATTCTACCCCAAGAAAATCAACCCTGAGGTGAAACCACCAACTGCACCACCTCCACCTTCAACCGCGCAGCCGACATAGCACTGGCTGCATCACCACCATCACCCGTCGCATCAACTACACGCTCTGGACGCGACGTACATTTCCCTACTTGCTTCAGCAGCCGAGCAACCATCTCTGCGGGAGGGTGATGTGGGAACTGCCCACATTCAAGCAAATGTGACAACAAAAGTATCATTGCTTAGCAATGGCGAGTAAACAGCTGTTGCTAGGCAAAGCCTACAACAGTACAGGCAGTGACGTGTTTTCTATGCTGTCCATTGCAGTGTTATATATGAGGAATATATGGCGATATACAAAAAGTGGTGGTGTGGGTGTTGCAAGCAGTAATATTGTTGGTACTATACTATTAGACTTCAATTCTTCGAACCCAAGTTCGTTTGTGTATACTGTGCAACTGTAATAAATATTATAGAACATGATTTATTTCAACCGTCTTCCAGGGCATACACTCCTCTACCTCCTCCTCTCTCTCGCACTACATGTTTCGGCACAAAAGTGCCATCTTCAGGTGCTTATTCGATTTACGCTAAACTAGTTCATTGCATGCCTTGTCGTCTTCATATTAAAATAACTAAAATATATATGATAAATATGCTGGAAATAAACTGGAAGACAGTTGAAATAAATCATGGACTTAAATCAGTGCAACAGGACGCTAAAATATAACATTATTATAGAACAGTTCAACAAGTGGTTGTCTCTTCATATAACAACATCCCACACATTTTTAATTCAGGATTATGGATATATGGCGGCAAAGGTAGAAGCTGCATTACATCACTTTTTTTTTTTCAAATGTGGTTGATTTCAAGAAATAAAATGTCCAGTCTGATTCCAGTTGTTGGTTGAAGTGACAGGGCCATGCAGTGTTATAATGAGTTCATTAAAACTGCAGTTTTTAATTGATAACACTGTAAAGTAAAATAATGTGTCTGAATTATTCAACTTAGTTTTCTATATTCCAGATTGTGCACAGAGGTGTATGGTTCACTCCATGTAAATATCACATTGTTTGAGGAACAAAAATAATAAAATAAAAGCCAAACTAGTGTTTTCCCATGTGAGCCTAATTTGTTTGGCGGGAAGCCTTATATTGGCTCTGTAGACCACTTTACTCACTAGCAGCATAACAAATTTAAGCAATGGCATTTTTGTAGCATAAGGTAATGTTCAGATCTGGCCAGAAGGGAATGATTATAAGTAGCGGCGACTTTTGTTTAAAGGGAATGATGCCTTATGGACCACCTAACTGCATTACTGCAGGAGAATAAATTAACTTAACTTTGTGCATGTGTCAGTTAATACAGGTTTCTTCATTATTTTAGAAGCACTCTTTAAACACTTGTCTTAATGTGCTGCTGTTTATTTGTAGATCAGGAAGGGACCAGACTTCTGTTATGGACCAGGCTCTTCAAGTGACTCAGGAGATGCACAAAACCAAAAATAGCTTGCTGTGGGGAATCATCAATGGAATTCTGATGGCTATAGTTTTATATGATGTGTATGTACATTACTTTACACTGCTGTCTTTGAAATAACTAATTAATGTGAATAATAGGACCTGAAATTTTGACTCTTTTAAGTCAACACCTTCAGGTCAACATGATCCTGAGCAAGTTCCATCCAACTTCCAATCTTCACAAGCAGTTTCTCTAAGTTTTATCTGTATGTTATTCTCCCATTTCTTTCTTAGCTTTATACATAACTTGTGGAATAGTAAAAAAAAAAAAAAATCTAATGCAGTTTTAGTTATTTTCATTGGTAAATGGTCTTCACATTTTCTTCTGGATATGTTTTATATTTTGTGTGTCAGTCTGCTCTTCTGTATATCATTATAGTCTTAAAGAGGTGATTGATATGTGTATTTCATAGGTTTCCAATTTTTATTGTTCTACTGTTAAGAAGTGGATTTAATTGTCATTGTGATTAGCATAAAGTTAGCTGACAGATGCTTTGAATATGTGGCACAGTTCAGATATTTGTGAATGACTATAACAAATCAAAGCCTAATTCAGGAGGAAATTAACAGGAGATAGAATTCAGGTATGCTTGCTACCATTCAGTCCAGAACCTTTTGTCATCTTGTCTGCTATCTAATAACATAAAAATTAGAATATAGAAAACTATAATTTTGCCTGTGGGTCTGTATGGGTGTGAAACTTGGTCTCTGACATTAAGGGAGGAACATAGACTGAGGGTGTTTGAGAACAGGGTGCCGAGGAGAATATCTGGACCAGAGAGCGATGAAGTGACGGGAGGTTGGAGAAAACTGCATAATGAGGAGCTTCATAACTTATTCTCTTCACCAAGTATAATTGGAATTATCAAGTTAAGGAGGATGAGAAGGGCAGTGAATGTAGCACGAATGGAGGAGACAAATGCATGTAGGATATTGGTGAGAAAGCCAGAAGGAAAGAGACCACTAGGAAGAGCAAGACATAGGTGGGTGGATAGTAATAAAATGGATCTTAGATAGGATGGAATGGTATGGATTGGATCAATCTGGCTCATGATAGGGACAAGTGGAGGGATCTTATGAGCACGATAATGAACCTTCAGGTTCCATAAAATGCTGGCAGTGGTTCTTGAGTAGCTGCACAATTGGCAGCTTCTCAAGAAGGGCTCAACAACATGACTGATTGAGTGTTATTAGCATCATTGTCATTTTCACCATCAACATCACTCTTATTGATGTCTCAAACATTGCAGATGAGTGATTATAACTTCAGCTCTTTATTCCAGAGGTCCCACAGTTGAGCATTGGCCTTGAAACCAGCTGTCATGACAACCTTCTGGTGGTTTTCCTGAACTCCTCAGGCATAATCTGAGATACTGCTTTATGACTGCTTCCTTCCAGTCAATATTCACAGCCATCTTATCATTTGTTGTTATATGACCAGTGTAGTTGAAAAAGCATTGCTAAATCACACAAGATTTAGTAACTTGTTCTTATCATGAGGGTTCTTAAAACTAGCTCCATGGAGCAGAGTCCTTGAGAAGATGACTATTCAGTAAGCTAGTAGTAATTCCTCACATTCTGTAGACCACATGAGTTTATTACCATTTATTCACAAGAACCAGCCTCTGTACCTTATCATGAGCCACAGGAGTCAAATCAACATCCCCACATCCAGTTTCTATAAGATAAATTGAGTGTCTGTAATTTGAGTGTTTGGTGTTTGATGAAAATTTAAAATGTGATCTGGCGTATGATATCATGTAATATATTTGGTTGTAATGAGAAAACATATCATAACCCAGAAGAAAACAGTCTGTATATTATTAATCTCTCATCTATGCCTGTGTCTGCCACTGCTCTGTTCCCATCAGGTCTTTCAGGTAAAATCTGTGTTTCTCATCTCTCCCATGTTACATTGTCCACCCAACTTATGTTTCTTGATTTGATGGTTCTAATAACAGGTGGAAAGTATAAATTATGCTCCTAATTATACAATTTGTCTTTCCTCCTGGTACTGCCAAGGCCAAGTATTCCCTGTAACACTTCATTGTTGAACACTATATGTGTGTTCCTACCTGTTCTAAAGAATTATTCTGTGTTCTTATCTTAGAATGAGAGAATAAGTTTCATACCCATACAAAATAGTGGTAAAATTATTGTGGCATATTTGCTCAAAGCAAGAACTGTGGAGCCAGAGAAACAGCATTGCTAGGTAACAGCTGTGTAACATGTAACAGTGCAGTAACTGTTGGAAGCGGTGTTTTCTGTGCGGTCCATGCCAAGGCTATATATCAAGAGGGAGTCTTGAGACATCAGAAGAGTAGGAGGTTGGTGTGAGATGGTCACCACCCTGTGAGGACATGAGACTGGGAGCGAGGGAATGTCCACTGGTGAAGACACAGCAGACTGAGAAGACTTAGTTCTTGCTGTAGTGAACTGCATAGCATGTGAATTAGTGATAGCACTAGAGTTACTTGTAGTTATGATCTGTATGTGTTCAATAAATCCAATTACCAATCCAAAACTCATTGTAGTCACTCTAAAATTTTGACATTTTGCTTTCTGTCATCACTAGTCTTTGTATTGAAATTGTTTATTGCTTGGTTCATATCTGAATCAGGATAAAGTAATGATCTGTTCTATGCATTGCTTTTCCAGAATATACACATGTCCAATGTACACAGCAACAGTGATTTATTTTGAGTGGCTGGTGGCTCTAGTTTTGATGTTGAACACAGCCTATCATTTTGGCCATTACTTGCGAAGAACTTTCTATTTGGATCCTGTTACCCTTTCCCCAACCCAGAAGAAACTGTTGGGTATTTCTGATTCAGGTACGCTTTTATTGATCTAGTTCCTTCTTAAGCAAGAAAATCGGCATATGAGATGATCATGCTGTGTTTGTGGGTGTCTAGACATATATGTATGTGTATGTTCTTCCAGCTTTTTTGAAATATTTCACTAATTTTGGCAAAACTTGGTATGAATAGTTTACCATTGGAGACACACTTTTAGTTTCCTGTGTTTTTTTATTCTCTTAGTGGGGGATGGGGTCCACTAGGCACAGCGGCCACTAATTGGCCTATTTTACCTGCCCTGGGTGATTATGATGATGGAGAATTTGGTGGAATGAAGATTGGCAGGGGAAATCGAAGTACTCGGAGAAAACCTGCCCCAGCGCCACTTTGTCCACCACAAATCCCACTTGACCAGACCCAGGATCGAACCTGGGCCGCCGCGGTGGGAAGCCAGTGGCTAACCGCTTGAGCTATGGCGCAGCCTTCCTGTAATTAGTAATAATGTTGTGAATGCATGAACTTAGGACATAAGAGTATCACTTAATATTTGGTCATACATGATGAGTTGTAATAGATCTTTGAAGAGTGTGTAACTTTTGTGATGGAAAGAGATACATGGCAGCCATGGTCAAATTATCTGTAGCCTCCAGTTTCATGGCATTAACTAATAAACCATTAAGGCTGCACATTATATGTAGGGTAGTCAAAAAGTTCCTGGAATTCCCCTGCAGACGGAGAACGAGCAATAAGATAGCGCACACACTGTTTTGGTGGGAAGCCCAGCATGTCTGCTTGCAGGCTGAACAGGTCTGGACAGGTTTCAGTGTGCAGTGTCGTTACGGTTCCGTTTGAATTAAATGTGAATGTTGGTCATTTGGCACAATGTCGCAGTTTGAACAGCGTGTGAACATCAAGTTCATGTGCAACTTGGGAAAATCTGCTTCAGAGACGCTGTCGGCCCTGCACTAAAAAAATCCGCAGTTTACAACTGGTTTTCCCAGTTTAAGAATGGGCAGGAGACGTTAGAGGATGACCAGCGCGGTGGGAGACCTTCGACATCCTGAACCGAAGAAATGATTGGAAAAGTGCAACAACTGATTCGATGTGATCATAGAATGACCATCGCGGAATTGGAGCAAGAAGCTCGTACTGTTACTGGCCATTTCTACATGCAAGTTTTGCTGAGGTTGCACGATGCAGTTTGGAGGAAGTGGCACGACAGGTGGCAGGGACAGTGGTTTCTGCATCGCAATAATGCACTGAATATTTGGTCATACATGATGAGTTGTAATAGATCTTTGAAGAGTGTGCACTTGTTGTGCAGCAATTCCTTGTCGAGAAAAACTTTCCTGTCGTCACTCAAGCACCGTACTCTCCGGATCTCGCTCCGAGTGACTTTTGGCTGTTCCCCACTCTGAAAATGGGCCTCAAGGGGACACATTTCACAATCATGGAGGACATCAAATCGAATGCAACAGCTGAGCTCTGGAAGATTCCAAAAGAAGCCTTCCACTCCTGCTTCCAACAATGGCAGAATCGATGGAGCAAGTGTGCGCGCGCTAGGGTCCTTCTTTGAAGGTGACTAGGTAAGCATTGCTGTATGTCCTACTATTAGAGTGCTATACCACCTTTCCGGGAACCTTTTGACTGCCCCTTGTGTATTAAATGTTTGTAAGTCATCAGTTACAAACATGATGGTGCAAAATGGTTATATCTGATACATTTAATGTAGGCAGAATCCGTATGTGGTAGGTTCTTTATGAAAGAAAATATAATAATATAAATAGTATTTTTAAATGTGTAGGAATAAGTCTGTGTGTTAGGAAAGTAGACTATTGTTGAGTTTTACTCAGAATTCATTTTAGAGATTATCCAAATACTATTCAATTTTTATGAATAGCACTTTGACTGTTAAAAAATGTTGTCTTTTCCAGTCTTGTTTGACTCTGGAGCAGAGATTTGTAGTCATTCAGCTTTTTAAGGAATTTTGTATATTTTAGGAAAACCATTAAGGTTCATTGTTGTGTTTACAACAGCCCACCACTGGACAATGTCAGAGTATAATTGTTAACATTCGCTAGGCACCAGAAATTAATTGCTTCCTTGGAAATGTAACATAGTATCACAGCAGTAAAGTCTTAGATCCCAGGTTTTCAGAACAAGTGTTCTGGAGTTATCGTGTAACATGATAGCTAGCAATGTGAAACCATAGACAGGGATTGTGAGCTATTCATGGCATGATAGACGTGCGATACCTAAGCAGTTGATCGGTCAATATAGAACCTGAACACCACCTCAAAGCTAAATTTAAACCAATCGGAGTGGAGTAAACTTTTGTAAACAGAAGTTCTCTGAAATTTGGAACCACCATAATGCTTGGTATCTGACACGCTCTGGTGTAGGTCTTCAAAAGGGAACAATGTAATGTATTGTAATCTTCGTAAAGGACTGACATAGGTATTCAAAGGGTTAAAGTAAAGTTGTTAATTAGCGGCCTCCATAGTCTAGGGTAACATTCCCACCTCGTGACTCAAGGTATGCTGGTTCAAACCCGGCGGAGGTCGTGGAATTTTTAAGGGCGGAAAAATTCAGGGAACAAGTCCTCTGGGAGGGACTTTAAGCCGTGGGTCCCGTGTCATAGCTTTACGGCACGTAAAGGAACCTCATGTCTCAAGGGGACCTCTGAGCCAAATTCAGGACATTTCCTGCCCAACAGTAGTCTCTAACGCCTCTGGTAGATGGGGGAAGCATCGAGATACCGCTGAGCCAGTAGAGGCCAAACTCGCTGGCTGAGTTGGGACTGATGTCACGCACCAGTACTGGTAGGGTATAGAGACTGGTAGAATATCACGGGGACGCACAATGGACCAATATCTGGTCTAAGTGCATGGGGAAACCCACCCTCTCCAATAACAACAACAACAACAAAGTTGTTAATTGTGACCATTAGATAAGTGAAAATAAAGAGGTTGGTTAAGAATTTATTGTCACTCTGCCAGCCCAAGCAAGAATCAATACACCTGGGAGATCATTGCTCATATTGACATCCAGGAGCTAGCCACACAAAGCAAACCATTGGGAAACAAGTGTGGCCTCAAAAAGGGGAAATGGCAGCACTTGCCTATCTCATCCATCTAAATTTGATTGTTCTAATAAAATGTAAAGAATACAAATTAGGAAGCTCCTCATTATACATTCTACTCCATCATCCTGTTACTACCTTCTGAAGTCAAAATATTCTCAGCACCTGCAATTTATGTTGGTCATTTAGTGGAAGAAACCAGATTTTGTACCCATATAAAACAACAGATAGGATACAATTCATGTTTTTAGATAGGAGATAGGATGGCAAAAGTTCTGAGCTTAATTTGTTCTAGTTTTTTATATGAATGGACTTCTGATACGTGATTCAGACTTTCACTATGGGCTCTAGTGAACACATTTGTGAACATTTTGGTTACACAAAAGGTTGGAATTTCTTGAGTGTTAGTTTCTCAAAGAAGAAATGTGCTCCATGAAGGTAGTTAATTATTAAAATATTTAATGATGTTTTAAACATGTGAAATGTTCTGTGTTTTATCATTCATATACTTGATATCCAGATCCACATTTCAAGATTACTTCTCCACCTGCTGACATGTCAAGGTCTAGTACTTTGCCTCATTCAGACATTCTGTCGTCAACACCGATTAATCTGTCTGCTTCCAGCTGGAGGTCATCATCTTTCATGTCTTCTCCAAGTGACAGTGAGTTGATTTCTGTTTCTGAAATGCAGTGAGATTTTTCAAGTACCCGATAAATCAGTGGATTTCTGGTGGAAGAGTTGAATGCCTCTTCCATCAAGTTGGTCCCACTGGATTCAAATTGCTAGTAGAACTGACAAAACTTTAGTCAGAATGTTGCAAATACATTTATTGATAACAGAAGAAGTTATACCATTAAACCGTGTATTAATGGACTGTCTGATCATGATGCACAGCTCTTAACATTTAAGAATATTACTGTACCTAATGATACATTTGGATCTATCTTTGCTAGAAACATTAATAAAAATAACATAGCTGAATTTCAAATGTTATTAATTTGGAAACAGTGCAACAATATTTTTTTGAATAATAATGTTAATAATATGTTTAATAACTTTCATAATACTTATTTAAGATGTTTTTATGCCTGTTTGCCAAAAGAAGGAAATCAAACATAATATTATTAAGAATAAATGGATTACAAAAGGGATAATGACCTCATGTAAAAGAAAGAGAGAACTCTTGTTATTATGCAGATGCAGTGATGATTTAAATCTTAAAATATATTATAAACAATACTGTAAAATATCAAAAGTGATAATAGCTGCAACAAATCATATTGCAATAGAGTTACGTGGTGTGTTCAAAAAGTATTGAACCTTTGGTCGGCAGAAATACATTTATTAATTTGGAGGTACAAAACCCTAATCCCCTTCAAAGTAGTCTCCTTGGTAATGCACACACTTCTCCCAGCGCTTCCGCCATTGTTGGAAACACTTCTGGAACACGTCTTTTGGAATGGTGATCAGCCCGGCCATCGCNCCACGTGATGTCTTCCCTTGACTCAAATCGGGTGCCTTTCAGCGGCATTTTCAGCTTGGGAAATAGCCAAAAGTCACACGGAGCCATGTCGGGGTAGTAGGGAGCCTGACGAACCACAGGGATATTGTATTTGGTGACGAAAGTCTGAATCAGATGCGCAGAATGGGCGGGTGCATTATCATGACAGAGCTGCGAAGTTTTTGCTGCCCACAGATCCAGTCGTTTGTGCCTCACAGCATCACGAAGGCAACGAAGGACCTCCTGGTAGTATTTCTTTGTGATGGTTTGGCCTTGTGGTGCGTATTCATGGTGCACAACCCCACGGAAGTCAAAGAAAACGGCCAACATGACCTTGACATTGCTGTGGACCTGCCATGCTTTTTTTGGCCCCTGGGATGTCAGATGTTTCGACTGTGACGACTGCATCTTGGTTTCCGGGTCATACCCATAAACCCACGACTCATCGCCTGTGATCACAGTGTTCAGAAAGTTGGGGTTACTGTTTGCATTGTCCAGCATGTCCTGTGCGATTTCCAGATGGCGTTGCTTCTGCTCCATTGTTAGCAGTTTCGGTATGAATTTCACGGACACTCTCCTCATGCCCAAATCCTCGGTCAAAATTGAATGTACTGATCCAACGTTTACCCCTATCTCGTTCGCAAGTTCTCAGACTGTGATACGATGGTCCTCCATGACCAAAGTCTGCACTTGCTCAATGACATTCTCATTTCGGCTTGTTGAGGGTCTGCCTGAACGCGGTTTGCTGTCCACTGATGTGTGGCCATCTTTGAAGCTGTTGTACCACTCCTTTATCCGTGAGTTGCTCATGGCATCATCCCCGAAAGCCTGTTGAGTCTTGTGAATGGTTTCCACTTGGCTATCACCAAGCTTTTGGCAAAATTTGTTGCAGTATCGCTGCTAATGTTGTTCCCTCATTTTACACCTTACTGGAATCTGACGAGCGCTCACTACATGTCCTCACTCATAGGTCGACTGCCAGCAACTGACGCTTTCTGCTGGCGGGTAAAAACTCATGACTGCGCATGAATGTCCCCTCCACATCTCCACAGAAGGGATCCTCCCGCGCTTCATTGGTTTACGCGGGAAAAAAGAAGGTTCGATACTTTTTGAATTCTAATAATAAAAATTATTTGAAAAATAATAAATGAGGATAAAAGGAAAATACAAAGGGATAAAGGTATTCATTCCATAATGGTAGATAATAAAGTAATGATGAATCAGAACAAAATTGCAGATGCTTTTAACAAACACTTTCTATCCATAGCTGATTCTATCATATCAGGTCATAATAAATATATAAGCTCAAATTCATCCAATCCAATAAATTACTTAGTAAATACGTTTAGTAGACTTCTACTAAAATTAATTCGCAGTATGCCTCCACTTATGAAATTGAAAAAAATATTAAATCATTAAAGACTAAAAACTCAAGTGGACATGATGAAATTTCAAACAGAATAATAAAATTAAGTTCACCGTTTATAATTTCTCCACTTACTCATATTTGTAATGCAATATTTAATAAATATTTTTCTGATAGATTAGAATTTGCCTTAGTTAAACCACTACAGAGGGGTCCAAAAAAATGTACTCACTCTTTGATAGTCAGTATCTTTGGAACAAAATGACATGTAGTTACAATTCTTGCTCGGAGAGAGAGAGAGCCATTGTATATGTTCGAAGTGACCACCATCAGCTGCTAAACAGCATTGATGCCTCCGAACTGTTGAGTGAACTACGGCTGCCAGTGTGTCCGGTGTGATGGCTGCACACGGCGCTTCGATGGCTTCTCGTAGTGCGTTCAGTGTAGCTGGCTTTTGTCGATAAACTTCATCTTTCAAGGTTTCCCATAGGTAGAAGTCAAGAGATGTTACTTCTGGAGTCTGTTGTGGGTACTCAGTAGCACCTCTTCGACCTGTCCTTTGTCCAGGTAGAGTGTTATTCAAGTACGCCCTGACATCTTGATGGTAGTGAGGTGGAGCACCATCTTGTTGTAGGTAAAATCTCTCCTCTCCAAACAGCTCTCAAATGGCAGAGAAAATTGATGTCTGAAGCATATCGAGATACATCTGACCAATTACGGTACCTTCAAAGAAGAAAGGACCAACCAAACCACACGATGACAGACCACACCATATGTTAACACCCGGTAGATTCACTTCCTTGCCCACGTGAACGTGTGGATTTACAGGAGCCCAATGCACACAGTTGTGGTGGTTAAAAATACCATTCATTTTGAATTGTGCCTCGTCAGACCAGATAACTTTCCCTGCAAACTCCTCATCCTCATGCCTTCAATCTAGGTCGTCATCATTCATAGCGTGCAGCAGTCTTGGAATGTACACTTTCTACTTTGCAGCCTTCAGAATTCGCCATACACTTGATCGGCTTACCCCACTTTTGCGTGCACACTGATTCACAGATTTTTGCAGTGATCATTTAAAGCGTTGCAACACTACAGCACTGGAAGCTGTACTTATTACTATCCGTGGTCACCCAGATCTTTGCTTATGCACATCATGAACAGTACCGTCACTTCAAATTTATCCTGAATACGGGCAATTGTTCAACGTGTTGGTGGCTGAGTTCCAAACTCATTCTGCCATTGTTTTCATACTTGCAATACCACTTCAATACAGCCTTGCATTGCTCAAAGAACAACCTTTCAGCCATTTTTTCTCCTCGCTTCTCGCAGTGCGCGCATGGCACGACACTCATGTGACCTTCGCCATCTGTTGAGAAAACGGAGGAACGTATCGTCTCCATCTTCAGGGTAGAAGGAAAAATAAGAAAATCCACAAGCAAAGAGACAGAACAGGTGCAAGCAGACTATGTTGGGAATATACTCAGCTATATGAGAGCAGGGAAGGAAGGGACAAGTCTACATGGGAAACCAGTGGAGAGGGAGAGGGGAAGGGTCTGGGACAGGAGCAAGGTTAGAGCAGGTATAGGATATTGCATCAGTGGAGAAAGGCAAGGTTAAAGGGAGGGCATTAACCCTTAAGCTGGGCGGTTGCTATGTGAGTGGGTCATGGACTGTGTGGCCTTGTGGATCTGGCGTCATGTCCCGGGGGGGGGGTTAGGGAACAGATGAGAGTCTTCCATGACTTGCTGAGACAAAACCCCCCTCTCTGTTCATATTGTCGGGATGGAGTTCAATCTCAATGGCTTCCCTAAAGATGCGATCCATATATCGCGTCTTGGTGGCGAGTATGGAGGTATTCTGAAGCTGAATGCGGTGTCCCAACAAATGACATGACTCAGACCCGAAAGCCAATCTTACACAAATCATGTTTTGTGTCCATGACAGGTATGATGAGTGCCAACTACACAATGTCATCACCATCATGGGTTTATCATCAGGGCTCTCCTGTGGCCACCCTGTCCATCCCTCGAAATAGAAGTCAGCAGACTTCTCCGGGCTCTCAATTGTCAGCCATTTCATCTGTGGACTTCATAGAGAATGAACGTTCATTAACACAGTACCTCCAGGATTATGAAAATTTCGAAAGAACTGCAGCTGTTGGTAATTATTTATTTTCAGATGTTATTTTCATGCTCTTTGAAGTTTTGTTTTCATGCTTTGCCCAATCTGACATGTCAGATTGAGTTACAAAGAGTTTATTATATGTTCTTTGTACTATGTGCTTAAAGACTCATATGTAAGTAAGATCATGTTTCAGAATTATTGTCTGTTGTATGTTTGAAATTAATAACTGCTGGATGGGTTTTGATGAAATTTGTTATGATATTATGCTTTTAGATGGCAACCTAGACTTGTACGACTACTTTTAATCAACTGCAGTCAGTAATAATGTGGTGGAGGCTCGAATTTGTGTGACAGGATTAACACTAATGCTCGTGCTGAAAATCGCTTGCCACGCCAACTAAAATCACCGTAATACCCTAAACTGGACTTAATACTGTTATTGTCTGGGGACACGCGGTAGCGTAGTTGGTTGAGGCACTATGCTAGAAGCTGGAAGGTCGCGGGTTCAAGTCCTGATAAGGTCATTGAATTTTTTTCAGTTGATCTAATCCTTCCAGCCACACTATGGCCCTGGGGTCGACTCAGCCTCTAACAGAAATGAGTACCAGGAATTAATTAAATAATTTTCCTGGGGAGTAAAGCGTGGCCAGCGCGTAAGGCTGACAACCTTACCGCCATCTCTGAGCCGATTGTCTAAATAATGTGGGACCCTCAATGTCTCACAACCCTATGGGGCTTCACGGCCTGATACAGGGATAGCTTTACTTTACTTTACTGTTATTGTCTTCTTCAGAACTACTTGTAACAGCAAGAAGATTCAGAATGCAAAGGTGCAAAGGACATATGTCGAAACTGTATATTCCTATGTGGATTGCTACTGTTCAGTCTTCTTTACTTACTGAAAGATCTCTGTATCTCTTTTTACCTGCAGTGAAAATAGAAGTATTACTTTTTCCAGTAACAAATTATGTTCTTGCATCATATTGCAGAATGAAATACAATATATTTGAATTATATTGTAAACAAATTGATCTATATTGAGCAACAGAATATTTGAAAAGCATAAGACATAACAGGCGATATAAGTATTTTGCATAAGGAAGTTGTCATTTTAAAGGAGGTTCATCTTACTAATGTATTTCACAAATAGATGTACATGTTGAAATCGGGCAGAATACTGTTTCACAAAATTTCATCACATTCTAACCATGTGTGTGGCTACCACAGTCTATCAAGTGTCTTGTATGCATGGGATTATCTGTTATTTCACTGCATATTTTAATATCCAGAAAAGGCTTCATTAGAACTTAACAATTATCCCACTTATGCACAGCTGTGACACCAAGCATGAAAATCCTATTGAAATCCCTGTGTGTGCATCTGCGTATTTGGGATAATTTCATCGTTCCATCAGTTCTCAACACGTTCATTGTTATAACCCATTTCAATTATATTCTTTTTTTTCCAACAATACCTCTCTCTCTTCTATTTAATTCTTCTTTTCCATTCATTGTTATCCAGGCATAGGGAACAGCTCATTTGGGAAGCAACAGATGAGCACCTCCATGACGACATAAACAGGAAGATGGTTTCTTGCGTAGAAGGTCATAAAAGGTTCTTATCTGCTGTTTGTAGGAAAGGAAGGTTCTGTCCAAGAACAAGATAGTTACTTCCTTCTTAGGCAGCACTCCCATACCCATGTGCTTGAAAAAGAATGCGGTATTTTCACACTTCCCATCTCTAGGGACTGTGGGAAGGACCACCTTTTCTCACACTTTCAGTTTCCCTCCTGTGGCAAACAATAATATTTTGACCTTGGAAAGGGTTTTTTTCCCCCCTCAGTATTCAATTTCCCTTTTCTGACGGTAAATACTGGGTCCTAGTGTATGACTGTTTTCTGTTGCACCATTCCCATTGACCTTGGCCAGGCCTCTCATGGATCTGAGCTACCCTCATTGTAGCCTCTCTTTATAACTGAACCTGTTCCTCTGAAATAAATGTGTCTGTTTACAAGGCTACACAGTGTTACAAACAAGATCTCATTCTTTGCTAGTGTTGTTTGAAAATTTTTTGGATCTTAAAAGTTAACAAAAAGTGTGGATGGGCTCTCCATTCATATGGAAACATCTTATTACAGGTCAGAGTGTGGAGCAACCTTCAAACTTGTTGAGTTCCTTCTGGAGCCACCCAGCCACTCGCACAGCATCGGAAGTGCCACCTACATTGCGTCGCTGCTCATATCAACTGGCACCTCCCACCACAGGTAGGAAAAATATCAGGTTAGGATAAAATATGATTTAGTATGAAAAACTATGCCATGTAGCTTTTCTCAAGGTGGCCATTGAATGCAGGAGAAGCATATACATTTTTGTCTGTTTACTCCTCAGCAGACAATTTTCCAAATTATGTTCTGAGTTATTAAAAACAGTGTTGGCCTCATAGTTTAAATTAATAAATAAACTAAAAATGGTCCTTATATTCAGAAAATATTTTATTTTAGTATTAACTAACATAGTATAAAAATAAATTATAAAATAATGTTTGAAATGTTGTATTGGCCTACTGCTTACATATTTATGGTAGATGCTTCCAGAAAAGAGGTAAACAGAGATGGAATGGCCCAAGAAAAATTGTAAAATGTTGAGGAGGGTGAGGAGTGGCAGGATTATGAAGCTTGTGTCAGAACAGAGAAATGCTTACAAAACTGCAACCAGAAAACTGAAAGGGAAGAGACTTCCTCTGTAGATGGGAGGATCTTTTGCATTTGGGAATTTATTGAAAAGAATGTATAGAGTGAGTTTTGTTTCATTGAGCCCTTTTTTTTATCATAAAATTAAAATGAATTTGTATAAACGTCATTATTTTTCAATGGCTGTAGATATATGAAATATAGTCTTCAACAAGTTCACATGTGCTCCCTGTGAATTGATATTTTGAAGTTGAATGATGAAATTTGGTTTCTGTGGAGATTGAGAACGCCTTTTGCTATATTGTTTCTTTCAAATCATCAGTTGTGCAAGGGTTAGTGGTGAAAAATTTATCTCTGAAATATCCCCACAGCAGATGAGCACTTTAAAACTTCTTTGATGAACATGAGGAAATCTGTTTGAGATCATTGCATTTCCAAATGTTTTCTTCAAAAACATCCAACAGTATTAGCAGTATGAGGCCTCAAGCCGTCTTGTTGGAACCAGTTCTTATTGTTATCAACACTCTAACCCATGAGAGAAGGAACAGCCATTCTGCAAAACATTAAGACAAAACTGAGAATTGACTGTCTTCAATAAACATGGGTCAGAATGTTGCACTGGTAGAAAGTGTACACCAGACCAAAACATTGGAGATGTAGGGGATTTTCAGTAATAGTCTCAGAATTTGTAAATTTCACTAATATGTACTGTTTGCTTACATAGCTGTCTGTTTGAAAACGAGCCTAATTGGAGTCTTGATTCTGTTTAAAATGTCTACTTCATTTTGAAGAAAGGCTGACTAATTACTGCAAGTTATGAAACATCTGTTTCCCTAACTTTGTCTTGTAAAGCTAAGGATAGCTCTGAAAATTTTTCTCACTCTGCTATATCTCATATGTATTTGTTCAAGATGTTGCAGGCTCTCAGTAATGTTTTGTAATACTCTTTTACAATGAAAACTTTCGGCGGCACACTGTAGATTTCCATGATATTTAGAGATAAAGATGGCACAGTTCCAAGTTGCCAACCTAAAATAAAAAATAAGTGCATGGAGTCTCCTAAATTTTCAGTTTTGAGGCCATGTGGATTAGAAAGACAACTGAAATGGTTTGATGAATAAAAAGTCACTCCGTAGAAAATAATGGTTGAAGTTTAATGACTAAAATAAGACCCATCCTTTGGGTTCTTCAGTATCTGCTGTGAAATTTTTGTTACAGTGTATGTTGCACATCAGTAAATTGTTCAAGATCCTGAAGTTTTTGAGTGCACCATCTTCTGTATAAGTAGTGGAACCCACATTTATTGTTCCTTGGGTTAAGGTTTTCCCTCATTTAACATTAGTTTCAGTGTTCCCAAGTAGCTCATCTCAATGTTAAATTACCTCAATTTAAGATTTTCTTTAGTTAATGTTCAAGTCCACTACTTCCAAGAAAAAGAAAAAGGTAGAACTATCCCTGCAATAGGCTGTGAAGGGCCATAGGGTTGTGAGATGTCAAGGCGCCCACATCTACACACTCAGCTCACAGAAGACAGAAAGGTTATCAGCCTTACACACCAGCTGCCCTTTACCCCCCAGGAAGATTCCTGGTACTCATTTCTGTCAGAGGCTGAGTTGACCCCCTCACCAACAAAACCTTAAAAGGGATGTTTCTCTGAATGTTTTCCTCGGCTTTGTTTATCACTGTGCAGTGCCTACAGTGGGGAGTCCTGGAAGCCAGGCTGATGAAACAGGCTCACCTTCATCCTCTCTGTATCAGAGTCAAGATGTTTGGCGGCGCGTGCGAGTAAATCCAAATGTTCTCACACAGTGGAATGCTAATTTGCGAATGGTATGATCTGTTATTGGGTAAGCTATTTGTGTGCATGGTCTGATAATTGTTATTGGCATTCACTGAGAAGATAACAGAGAATGATGAACTGGAAAGACGTGGATAGAAGCAGATGCAGTGTATGCTAAGGTATGGTTCCAGCATTTGCTTGTGGGAACGAGTAAAGCAATAGAAAACCTCAACTCGTAATAGCCAGCTGTCACGTATGAAATGGAAGTGTTAATCACTCAATTATGCATTCGGTATAATATGAATATGACAGCAGTGTGAATTGTTCTCCATTTGTACTGATGGAACAGGTTTCTACAATGGTAATTCTTTAGAATTTTAACACGAAGGACTAATTATATATCTTGGCTAGAGAACCAGCTGTCCTGTTTGGATTCTTCTGTTTATTTTTTATCCCTCATGTTGAAATTATGAGAAGACTAAGTCATTTCTGGAAATGCTTGTAAAGTATACTTTGTACTAACTATAGTGCTTAAGATCAGGAGCTTGCCATTTGTTGTATGTTAATTTAGAAGATGGTCTCCTCATTTGAGAGAATATACATTACAATTTGAAAACAAAGTGCTGAGGAAAATATTCGTACCTAGAAAAGATTTGTATGAGTGGTATCTAAAACTTTGGGTTCTGCTGCTGTAGTGTTGGTTAAGGGCTTTCCTCAATTCTTTCTCATCCCTTGCAAGGACTGTCCTTCAAATCTGTTACAACTACTTTGAATATTTATTCCAGTTCACAGTGTATCTCATTCTACATACGTATATCGATGGTAAGTACATTGCTGTTAAATTGACAGCACCTTGAATTGAAAATGAAAATAATGTTATATTTTAGTGTCCTGTTGCACTGATTTTCATCCATTATATGTATACAGTGGCCGTCTTGTAGTGCACTCAATTTCACCTGTCACTTCACAACATGTTTTGGCAACATAGTGCCATCATCAGGTGACCCAATTACGTCAATCTATTGCATTGCCTGCCCTCATATATTTTCACAACACCATTTAAAAAGTCCGTATTTGTCAATTATGATAAATTTACACTCGCTAAAACTTGTTAAGATAATTCATCTTATTTGTCTTAATTAAAACTTGCATGTGGTTCATTCACTACGGGGTTGTTTTTCTTATTTTCTGTGTAAACCGCGTCTTGTGATGTGTGTTCCCTTCTTAGCTGCGCAGCCTCTTCTTGGTGTTGTCTGCCATATTCATGGTTAGGGACATCTGTCTTATTAGAAAAATCTTTTGATGTAAAATTGCAAATTACTGCTTTTATATCCTAACTTGATACTTTGGTCAACCTCATGGTAGGCCAGGACGTCTCACCTTGAAACATACTCTTTATGTTTACACTGGGTTTTCTTTTGTAACAGTGGATATCCAAGACTATCTTATTTCGTCTTGTGAAGGAAATTGAAGCTGTGGATGAAGCATTGCAACGTCATGGTCTGGCAGATATTCGAGTGGGTTCAGTTGGCCTAGAACGCTTAAAGAAGACTGCACAAATTCTTCAGGTGTCACAGAATATACCTACTCTGATTAGTCTTATTCCTTTCTTGGAACTCACATCAAATCAAGAATATCTTGTGACCCGAATCAAAGGTAAGTTGATTATTTCTTAAAACTTGAAACGGGTAATAATTTTTTATAGTTGCGTTGGCAGTAATACAAGAGTCCATTTCTAAAGAGGGGACGTTTCATAGTGCGGGCTTCCTTCCTTGTGGAAGGTATCTAAAGCTCCAAAACTTAGCAGTAGCCTGATACTCCCCATATTCATAAATTTTGCCCTTAGTTAGAGATAAGAGAAGTATATAAGAAAAATGTGCGCAGGATCCAGCCTATCTTGAATCTGAGGCTGTATGCACACAAATTCAGCATTTTGTCCCTTTTTCATGAAATTAGAAGTTCCGAAGTTTTTAGGTAACTGGACTCTATGTAAGATAATGATTTGCTGAAGAGTAGTAGTATTAGTTTGAAGCTGTAACTAATTTGTCTTGTCCAGTAAAGTAAAAGTAAGATTTTGCAACAGTGTACACATGATCCAGCTGGCCATATGGAAGAATATGCATAAACTATTATCCAAAGGCAACTTCTGTGATGAACATTGGAAAACCCAGAAACTTTGACATTATTCAAGGCTACATTCACCACATGGGCTAAGTTAAAAAAGAGGACAGAATGACTAGTTGCTGTTCCATTAATTTGAGAATGAGGATGTGGACAAAGGGATTAAGTATTCACTTGTTGGAGGTGACTAATGAATCACTACCTCATTCTGTCATTCTGTGGTAGGAAAATAGACCATTGAAAACTTTGGTTCTCAATTTTTTGGAAATAGCGCAAGGAGCCTCATTCCAACCCAAGAGGAAGATCTAACCCACGAGTCAGTCAAATGATTGCCTTGAAGGTAGACACACTTAACAGTTGGCAGATCCAGGATTGTAGCATGTACCCTGACACTGCACCTTCAACTTTCACCTTGCCCTTTTAATGATTGATTTACAGGAGCACCACCTGAATTGCTTCAGGTATAGGGATCAAAAGATGATATGGGTGAAAGTGGAGGTAAACTGGGAAGCTGGGAACATGAAATCCCTAGGGCATGATGTATGTAGGTGGAAGTTGATCCTCGGAGAATGATGACAAAGTACAAATTGAATGATGAACAATTATTTATTTATTATAACATTAATATTGTAGCATTATTTATTAAACTGAAGAGTATCGTAGGTCAGTCAGCCACGTATCTTAAAGGAGTGCACACCAAACATATCTGAACTATTCCAAGTTGTGACTTAACAGACACTACAGACCCGCTAACTCCACATATGGTTCCTGCCATGTTTCGGGGTGTAAGCTTGGAAATCCTATCCAGGAGACTAATGGTTTTCCATCATTTTCAAACCGCTGGCTGTACCTTTCCGTAGCTTCCATCAAATTTCAAGATAGCATGAAAGATCAGCACAGTCAAATTCATTGCCCTTTTTGCAGTCAGCATGTATATAGACTTATGTGTTCATATTTATCATGCGAAGGTAAACTTCCAAATCAGAGTTCTTTCACAATATAGAAGTTTTGCATTAGATTATATATTGTCACATGTATGAGTGACTGTAAGCGGGGTTTGGTTTGGTAGTAGGATTTATTGAACACTTAGAAATCATAACTACAAGTAGCTGTAGCGCTATCACTAATTCACACACTCAGTACTTCACTACAGCATGTACTAAGTTTTCTCTGCTGTGTCTTCACCAATCAGCTGGTAGTGGCTTCCCACACTGTAGATCCCTCAGCTTCTATGTTCATATCCTTACTGGCCAATAACTGTCTCACAACTAACTCAACTCTAGACTTGTCCTGCTTATAACAACTCAGCATGGTCCACACAGCAAAAACCTCTGCCAGCAGTTGCATCACGTAGCTGTCGCATGGACAGCTTAGAGAAGACTGCTTCCCAGTTGGTCCCATTGTTGCATGTAAGGGATTTGTTGCAGCCGTTACATAGCAGTGGTTGTTGTTTACGGAGTCATTACTTAGCAATGAGTCTACATGCTACAGTATATACAGAAAAATGTGTTTTACTGAGACCCTGAATTGTTTAACAGTAATATTCATTTGTGTTTATATTTTTATATGCAACAGGTGGTAATGCTGTGTTTACATTAGCACTTATTACTCTCAGCTATTCTTTCTTTTTATGCTGGTTAAAAGAATAATGTGTGTTTTCCCTCAAACTAGGATATTGTAGCAGGAATAGTGCTCAATTAATTAAGCACCATGCCATAAAGATGTATTAGGGACTGGAGGTATACCTCCACCATTATTGACTCGGTGAAGATCTCCCAGTACCAATTGACCAGGAGGTCAGGTGGGTGCTAGAGCTAGTCTGGAAAATGTAGAGAAGAGAAAAAAAATATCTTGCCTGTTCCAGAAATCAGACCCCAGCTGTCTGGGCCGTAGCCCATTGCTGTACCAACTGAACTATCCTGACTAGCAGGAATAGTTCCTAACATACGAAGGGGGACCCAAAAATAACCGGAAACGACCTGTTGCGCGCGCATGCTTTGTAGTTACGAGTTGTGCTGCTAGGTGGTGTTAGCTGGGGGTCTCCCGCGACTGTTAGTGAGCTGGCATCAGTCTGAGTTAAGTGGTTTGTCTGTGGTGCTCTGTTGTGTGCGTTCCTGTTTCAACCCTTTGGCGATTAGTGAGATGGCCGACCAGAAGGAACAAAGAGTGTGCGTGAAATTTTGCTTTCTGTTAGGGAAAACTGCACTTCACTCTTCAAGTCGCGGCAAACATTCACGCGGTTTTCTCTTTGGTCATCTCCGAGCAAGCGAGGAACAAATTTTGCAGACACCCATCTCATGTGCAAACCGTCGGTTAAAATTCGCTGGACCGTGCTCAATGAGATTTTCGTTCCTCAGAAAGTTGGTCAATGGTCTTTCGACGATCTTCATCAATTTCACGCACACTCTTTGTTCCTTCTGGTCGGCCATCTCACTAGTCGCCAAAGGGTTGAAACAGGAACGCACACAACAGAGCACCACAGACAAACCACTTAACTCAGACTGATGCCAGCTCACTAACAGTCGCGGGAGACCCCCAGCTAACACCACCTAGCAGCACAACTCATAACTACAAAGCATGCGCGCGCAACAAGTCGTTTCCGGTTATTTTTGGGTCCCCCCTCATACATAATCTTTTCAGTACTCGTATCATAACTAGTTAAAATTCATGATTTAAAATCTGTCTGCAAGCTGCTGGGGTCTGTGTTATCTATTCCTGTTTGATAGAAGTTAACCAGAACACCATGAAGACATGGGGAGTAATCAGTGCTCAGCTCCATGCTCCAGCCACTTTATCCTCAAAGAAAAAGCCTGCTCATGATTCAAAATTCATAGAAATTGAAAGACAGAAGGAACCCATGTGAGATCTGAGAAATTTTTTTGTAGTTAAGCATAATGTTTTCTTGGAAAGGGAAGTATCATCACAATAATTTTTACTAAAGCTTAAAAATGTGTAGTTTAAAATAAAACTTTATCAGGACAAAAAGTATAAATAATAATATATATCACCATAATACCAACATTGTGCTGGACATTGACTGTTGTTGAGGTATATTTAGTTTACAAGTTTACAGCATTGAAATAGTTGGCTGTGCTCTTGCCCTGAGGTAATTGGTTATCATATAGATAATTTTATGTCTGCATCTGTGTTTGCATGCACACACACCCATGTCCTCACGTGTGTGTAAATATTAGTTGCAGTTTGAATGAAATTGAAAAAAACTTTTGTATACTGTGATAGTACACTAACTGCAATACTAAATATAACTCAGATGATGGAAAATTTGTAACACATCAGTAATATTGAATCAGCTATTGTCAAAAGCCTTTAAAGTATATATAAATTGTCATTCCTTTGTTCAATATTAGACTCATTTTACCTGTTAATAGTTACAACAAAGCAAAATGTCTCCAAACAAGTGAAACATATAGTAAATCCTATAAATTATCCTGTATGGCATGGATGGTGCCATCAGTATAGTGGTGGGCTGTGGGCTGGATGGACGGGATTAGATTCCCAGCAGGCACAAAATTTTTCTCTTCTCCGTAACCTCCAGACCAACTCTAGGACAAACCCAAGCTCCTACTCAGTGGGTACCAGGGGGCTTTTTCCCCAGGGTAAAGTAGCATGGGCATGAAGCTGATCACTTACCTCCATCCAGTGCTGAGGTCAAGAATGTTGGACCTGGACTATACCTCCACTGTCTCACACATTCACGGTGTGGTGCTTAATTAATTACGCATAGGGACAACGTTACTTTTTCACCTTACATAAATAAATACAATGTAGTTATGAATCCAGTATATATTTATACCACACATCACAGAGTTAATGCTGCTGCTTTACATTTTGGGAGTCATGAGGTCATGTCTTGGCCTGCATACCTACTCTTCAGACAGGTTTTTATGGATTTACCCAGGCTTTCCATGCCAAATAAACTCAACGCCATATTTCATTCTACAGGGACTAATACTGAGGCAGCCTTGACATTCAGTTGTGCCATGTTATTTGCTCTACTACAGAGACTGGTATCTGCTGGCAGTTGTATGAACTCAAAATTTGCCGTTTGGAAAGGACTATCATATAGTTTGATGATTTTGGTACCGAAAATACATCTCTGAAACCGTTACCCCTCTTACCAAACAACCGTTGGTGCACGTAGTAATTCTACATAGGCACGTTTTATATATGCAGAGTTTGTGTGAAAAGGACTGTATGGCATCCCACTTGTGAATCCAAACCACAGTTGTTTTGAGTGTCAGTAGCACAGTGTGAAGCAGGAATATAACCCCTAAGGTAAGAGTATGGCAGAGTTCAAGGCCGCGCCATAGCTCAAGCAGTTAGTCGCTGGCGTTTTCCACCGCCGCGGCCCAGGTTCGATCCCGGGTCTGGTCAAATAGGATTTGTGGTGGACAAAGTGGTGCTGGGGCAGGTTTTCTCCAAGTACTTCAGTTTCCCCTGCCAATCTTCATTCCACCAATTGCTCCACAATCACCCTCACCTATCATCTGGGGCTGGTACAATAGGCCAGAAGTGGCCGCAGTACAAGGGACTTAGTCCCACCTCACTAGCAATAAAAAAATGACGGAGTTTGTGTTTAGGTCAACAGTTTCAGGCAGCACAAAGTTTATTGTGTGTTACTCCAATATTTTGTTTTATATTATATATTTATTTTTAATATAGAGTTGGCAAAAGGTGGATGCATGAGTGAATTTCGGTGGAATAGTGGAGGAAGTCTTCACAATAAGGACTGGGAAGAACATTTGCCTACCGACTCGGCTGTAAGTACAGTGCTGTGGTTAACCCAGTACTAGTGAGCCTTCATGAAGTAATATCATCACATATTTCTGGATGTAACCATTTACAGTGAACCTAGATTTTATATTTCTGAATGAACCATTTAAAATGAATATAAAATGAAGGAGATTGAAATTTATTTAGCTAATAATATTAATTTAAACCACACTACATATTTTAACCCTTATCTGGTCATCTACAGGTGTTATTAGTTATATGATTAATTATTGAATTCTAACACATGATATTGTTTGAATATTTCCTATCATTGTACAAGTCTTAATTACTGTATTCATAGTTCACATACATAAGCCATACACTGGCTATGTTCTGTGTATATTTCTAATTGTTTTATACCACTTATTGGATATTTACTTAAATTGGGGTTAGGTACTACCACGTAAACTAGACTGAATACCAGAACATAACACTAACTTTTGGCATGCAGTCATACCAAAGAAGAAATAAGGTCATTTGGCTTTCAAGAAAGCAGAACATAAGAAGAGCAATGTAACAAATTAAAGCAACAAATAATAGAAGAATTTGGGAAAAAGCTAACATGAAGATAAATGTGGCCCATTACAGCACACTGACATGAAGCCAATTACAGCTTACAACATTTTTTACATTTTTAAATCAATTTTAACTCACTTTTAAAAAATTGTTAATTTTACACAAAACCTCATACCTAACCCCAATTTTATTCAGTATCCAATAAGTAGTATATAAATAAACAAGAAGTATACATAGCCACTTTACAGCTTATGTATGTAAACTAGGAATATAATAATTAACAGTCATACAATGATAACAAATATTCAAACAAGATCGTGCATTTCAATTCAGTAATTAATGTAACTAAGAACACCTGAAGGTGACCCGATAAGTGTCAAAATATGTGATTCTGTGAATATGTTAAAAATGTAATTAATATTTATATCTGAGAAAATTTGTGCACCCATTCATATGCTTACAGTTTGGTAATGTCTTACCTCTGCTATTTTGTGATTCTGATGTAAAATTTTATGATTTATTGATCTGTTTCAGGTCGTGATGCACCTGTTTGCAACATATTTAGATTCTCAGCTACCTCCATTGCCTCAGAATCCAGATGGTCGCCCATTCACATCCTCATATTTTGCCAAAACTCCAGACAAACCCCCCCAGGGAAAGAACACATTTGCTATTTACCAAGTTCAGATGAACCCCCCTCACTATGTTCTTCTGGATGGCGAAGATACGCTGGAAGTGGCAAAGGTAGAGTGGAGTTTTTTTTGACTGGATATAAATCTTACTCACTAAAACATTGTGGCATCATTTTAAAGTTGTAAGGATATTAATAAGTTTAAGATTTTCAAGAAATGCATGCATATTGTACTGTAGAACACTGTGTATGCATTATGCTGTAGCATTAAACGGTTTTTAGTAATGAATTCCTTTGGGCTTGAGAATTTGTATTTCATTCCAGTAAATAAGGAATAAACAATCCCAAAATTTAAATAATTCTTGAGGTGGAGAATGAAAGTGGCTGTACCAAACATGGCGGGAGTATATAATGCAAATAAATTGTGCTGCATTGTGTAGGTTTGAAAGTGCACTTGTCTCTTATGCACTCAGATATGTAATGCATGCTGTGAATATCCACAAGTCTGACAGTGCATTAAAAGCTGTTATTGAGCAAAGTTTGGTGCATGTTCTGTGGTTCTGTATCCTGTAATTTTTTTTTATTCCCGTCTTAGGTGATGATACCTTTTTGAAATTTTCAGCCTGTTGGTTTGCCAGTTCAGTTAATTAAATGAACTCATAAGGAAATGAGTTTTACATCATCACCTCTAGATTATAAAATACCCTTTGTTTTATTAGCTTTGAAACTGAAAACTTCATGAAACAGGTGGTGTATTTTAGATAACTGTGATGAACTCTTTTTAACATTTAATTCGCATGCAGCTGTTCACTGTTATCTGGTAATATTCAAATTTGGGATAAGTTAAAATTGTAGGGCTGTATAGAATGAATAAACAGTTCATCTTACAGCTTCACTGTTCACTCTAATTACATACACTAGAAGAAGATTTTCCATTACATTACGAGTATAATCTCTTTCTTCAGTAAGTCATAACAATTTATTGAACATCTGATTGCTGCATTTACCTCAAATAACATGTCAAACTGACCCTTACAGTGTGATCTCTTTGCTCAACAGGGTCGTAATAATTTGTTTCACACACTGCTGCTGTTTCTTCATCTAGTGAACACGAAGGAACATGGAATGTTGGGCCGAGTAAACTTGGGTCCATCTGGTGTCAATTTGTTATGGGTGATTGAAACATGAATACTTAATTTGTGGTAAGCATTTCATTGTTAACAAGTAGCAATTGTTTATCCTCCCAAAGGGCCTTGTTTTAAGAAAAATTGCTAAAAATTGCTGTACAAGAATAAGTTAGTTTTATTACAAACTCGATTACTGAAATTGAACCACACACAAATTTTGATCATTTCCAACATGGTCTCCTGCTTTCTTTATGCTTATTCTTCATTTGTATATCAAGTTTGAAAATATTTCTGTAATTCCTTTATTGAAGTTTGTTTTCCCCAACTGATGATTTGATGATTGGGGCACGCAGTAGTGTAGTTGGTTGAGGGGCTATGCTACAAGCCGGAAGGTCGCGGGTTCAAGTCCCAATGACGTCATTGGATTTTTTTCAGTTGACCTAATTCTTCCAGCCGCACTAGGCCCTGGGGTTTACTCAGCCTCTAACAGAAATGAGTACCAGGAATTAATTAAGTAATTTTCCTTGGGAGTGAAGCGCGGCTGGAGTGTAAGGCTGACAATGTTACCGCTGTCTTTGAGTCAGTTGTCTAGATAGTGTGAGACCCTCAACGTCTCACAACTGTATGGCCCTTCACGGCCTGGTACAGGGATAGCTTTACTCTACTTTACTTTACTTTACTTTTATGCTTCATGATTTCTGTGAACAGCCAGAAATCAAGACAGGGCTGAGTTAGATGCTCCTTTATTTACAGCACAACCAGAATATCTTCATAAAGACACCTGGATAGGATCCCTACCATGCATAGTTCCCTGTGCCTGTGACATCTCCTGCCGTATTATGTGGCAGTCACAAACTCAGATTGCAAAATGAATTTCACCAGAATGTACTCACAAAAGAAAGGAATAATATTTTTTTCCATACATGTTATTAATTAAATATCAGTGTATTTTATTTATCTGTTCATACTTTTAATTTCATTTGAAGCATTTGTTTATATGACTCCACAGTCGGATTAACTCCTCATAGCGTCTCATCTAGTCTTTGCATTACTTCAGTCATACACCCTTGGTTTAATTGGTTTTTCAATCAGTTTTGTTTTTGCTTTAGCGAAATCAGAAGTAGTAAGTTGTCCATATCCTGGCTTATTTGCCTCATTTGAATGTAGCAGTGAGGCCAAAGGTAAATCTAGCCATGTATCTGGAAACATTATGAACCATTTACAGGTGGTGATTTAATCTCCACTCCCACTGGTGTGAACATCTTTGCTGAATTGTGCTGTCATAATAGAAGCGGAAACATGCCTAAATATTTGATATATACGAGCTGCTGACTTCACCCTAGTATTTTACTTTGGGTTTTGTATACATGTGTAAGCTCCTCCATTTTGTTGCCAAAATTTTGCTGTTCGCACCAACCGAAACACAGTGGCTGTTTTATGTGACAAAACCTTAAACATGCACCTGCATAGTTGTATTTTGTGACATATTTGTTCCATCTGTGCCAGAGAATTTTGGGGGGGGGGGGGAAAAAATGTGTGTGTAAAGGTAGAAGGATAACTGCACAGTGCAGTGGACATCATGTGATGTGCATTTCTCATTGATTAAAGCCTGAAGGGAGTAAACTGCTGGTGGATGGTGGAATGCAAACCTTCACCAGTCCAAGGATACAGCAGAGAGCTTGGGATGACAGGATTTTTTTTGCCTATTACTCATAGAGAAGAAAAATTGTAGGTATAGTTGTTGGCAGAAAGGAATGGGGAAAGAGTGACAGCTCGTTAGGCATCACTCATTATGACCGGCATGCCAGAAAGAAACTCCATTTTATGTGATAGTTTTCCATCAGTACAACATTGGGAAATTGCCAGTTCAGTGGTTTTTGTCACTATAATGAAGTTCTCATTATAAGCCATATTTATTCCATCACACTTTCACTACCCATGGAGCAAGGTCCTTGAGAAGCGGCCTCCGTAATCTAGAGGTAACGTTCCCACCTCATGACTCGTACGCGGGTTCAAATACCCGGTGGAGGTAGTCGAATTTTTAAGGGCAGAAAAATTCAGGGAACAAGTCCTCCGGGAGGGACTTTAAGCCGTGTGTCCCGTGTCGTAACTTTACGGCACGTAAAAGAACCTCATATCTCCAAAGGAGATCACTGAGCCAAATTCCAGGACGTTTCCCGCCCAACAATAGTCTCTAAGGCCNGATAGATGGGGGAAGCATTATAGACACCGCTAAGCAAGTGGAGGCCGAACTCGCTTGCTCGGCGGGACTGATGGCACGCACCATTATCGGTAGGGTATAGAGACTGGTAGAATATCATAGAGGGAAGCACAATGGACCAATACTGGTCTAAGTGCATGGGGAAACTCACCCTCTCCAATAACTAACTAACTAAGGTCCTTGAGAAATGTGAGTGATCTAGAAATTCTATGCTTTGGAACCTGAAGGCTTATTACCTCATTTACAAAAATCACGGAATGGACCCTGACCTAAACTCTGTGAATGTGGTCTGCCTTTACACCTTATTTTTTTCCACTCATCTACATGTTTAAGTCTCTGAAGTGGTCATTTTCCTTGCAGTTTTTTGATCGGAATTTTGTGTATAGTGAAACAGCATTTCCAAACTTTGTTTTTCTAAATTTAGTACTGATTTTTGTTCCTGTAGATCTAGGTAAATATTCAATTTGTTTGAAGTTTATTGTGAATTTTTATGTTTCAGAATTTCTTCTAGTTTACTGGTTGAAACATGTGATGCTGCTTTATGGTGCCTGCATTTCGAATATGATGGAATTGGCATCTGTTACTGAAGGAAGAGTGTAGAATGATTGTGTATTGTAATAGAATTAATATACCTTAATTTATGTATTATGTATGTTTCACATTGGAGAAAAAGTCTTAAATATTTTAAATCAAGCATTTGCTAATAGATGTAAGATTTTGAAAATAAATGGATCTAAAATTCCAGTCCTGTTCACTTTTATTTCCTTGACCTATTATGGTGTTGCTAATTGTTCAGTAGAACAGACCTACAAGTACAGGGTGGGGCACAGAAACTTCCTTTTTGTGAAGACACATTGCGAAGGGAGGGGAGGTCGCAGAAAAGTGCGGATAGGCTCGGCGAACGCAGCAGTTGCAGAAGTTTCTGTCTAATACCCCTCAGTAGGAAACATGAGCTGGACGAGTGAGCAGCACACGTTTGCTGTCGAAGCCTATTTTTCAAACAACCATTCCTACGTGGCGGTGCAGCGTGTGTTCTGTACTCACTTTGCTATTAAGCCCAGAGGTCTGGTTCGCAACCGGAAATCGATTGTTTTGTGGCTAGAGAACTTTAGGACAACCGGGAGTGTGGCGAAAAAATCATCGGGATGACAATGGACCGTTACAATGCCAGAAAATGTGGAGGCAGTTCAACAGTCTATTTTGAGATCTTTTTCGAACCACCTCTTGAAGAAATGCATCTAGGAAATATCTGGTTCCAACAGTATGGTGACACGGCCCACACAGCCCGAGTTTCGATAACAGTTTTTAGGGCAAAGTTCCCTGGATGGCTCATCTTGCTTCGAGGTGACATCCCTTGGGCAGCACACTCACCTGATCTAATGCCCTGTGATTTCTTTTTATGGGGATACCTCAAGACAGAGGTTTTTAAACATCGCCCCACAAACCTGCTTCAGCTGAAGAATGTTATTCGGCAGGAAGTAGCCCAAATTCCAGTGCACATGTTGGAACGTGCAGAGGGGAACTTCAGAAAACGGTTGCATCAGTGCATAGAGAACGGTGGCCACCACCTTCAAGATATTTTGTTTAAAACTACATGATTTAAAACTTTAAAGTATGTTCTTTCATTAGCTAAACATAAATTTTGTCTATCAGCAATAATTTTTCTTTTATTCGCCTTCAAAAAGAGGAAGTTTGTACGCCACATTCTGTATAAGCAGTCTGCACAGTAGGTGGACTGAAGCAGGTCTTACATCAAGGCTGAGAAGGGGTCCTGTTACTGGGATATGTGTGTTTTTCCATCAGCCTGGCATGATTCAAATGCAGATGTCAATTTTATGGACACAGCATTGATTGATTTGTGCGAAATCATCACGCGATTGATTACATTGTTGTCAGTAGGACTTAACACAGCAACCGTGCATACCTGCGAGGTGATACAACACTGGTGTCATTCTATGTAGGATCGTTAAAGGGCATATATATGGATAGACCATTCTAAAGCATGCAGCTGTTAGTCATTTTTTTTGAAAGGGAATCAAATTCAATTGAGATGGTATGAAATATTTTGATGTAGTATGATAACTAACAAACAATTGTAACTATACCTGTATAATGTATATAAAGACATGTTTGAAGTATAGCTGCTGTAATTTGAGAGATACTGAAACCTAATCCTTCAGAATTCTAAAATCACCATGTGAATGTCAATGGCCCAGAGATTCAGCCTCTACTACTAAAGCCTACCATCTGGTACAGTCTTGGAGCTAGTTTCATCCACCTCTCACCACTGTTTTCCAGCTTTACATTTTCTGAGAGGTTGACCCACAAGTCTAGCTGTCAATGACCTGTACAAACATACATATGGCATATGACACTATAGTCATATTTTGATAGACAGGAATGTAACCCAGCATGGTATATTCCATGAACTTTTCTGTTGTGTTATGGCCCTATTACCATCCTGATAGCTGAGTCCTGTGGTATACTACTGGAGAAGGCTGTCTCTCAGATGGGGCTACGTCTGGGGCACAGTGGTACCCTCAGTAGTAGAATGATTGTGAACACAGGATCTCTGCTGTAACACTGGCTCTGAACTGCTATGGGAGCTTAGTATTCCTGATGTTTTATCTTTGTCAGAGGGGTGGGATGGGAAAAGCATGTAGAGAAAACAGGGCTGGATCTCCTGGTTCTGAACTGACAACCTTTGGCACCAAAGTCAAACACATCACCCTTGCAGCATAGGCTTGTGCTTATTCTCTGTCCTACACCCAACCATAAATTTATACATTCTGTATCTAAATGAAGACCTCACATCTATTCTGATTTTTTTTTTTAATTAGAGTGTAGAAAATATGCAAACAGTTTTGCAGGAATCCTTATACAAATTTTGAGGTTATAATGGAAAAATTAAGTATAATAAAGTATTGATAACAAATTTAAAACTTTGCTAATTGAATGCAAGTATTCACGTGACAGACTGTATGAAAATGTACTAACTCTGCATGGTCTTCTGGAGTCTTTATTCAGCTTGTCAAAAATTGCATGGTTTTATGGAACTGACAGGTTAATTACAATATAAGAGGAGGGTCGTGTAGAAGTAAACACTATGCCTTTGTAATTCTTCATATTCCATAAAAGGTGGAAAATGTCTTGACCAGCTGTGTGACTGTCAGCTTCTCAAGAAGGGCTGTGCTATATGGAATTTATTAGTAATGAAATATGTCCTAACTTTCTGGGGGATATCAACATGTGACCTTTAGATTTTAACCACTGATTCAATTCTAAACTTCCAGATTTTATTGAGAGCTCTTTAAATGTAACTGCATGTAACAATGATATAAGTGTTTCTAAAATTGTATTCTAATGTGTAAAGGCAAGTACGCTTTCCAAAGTGTTATGCACTGTGCAGCTACCTTCATGCCTGTTGTAATACATTATGTACAAAGTGTCTCGCTATATAGCTACAGTTTTAGTCTTCACAAAAGTATTGGTCCTCTACCTAATTGGTGACAGGAAGCTCGAGACTTTCCCTAGAAACACTCATCTGCATCTGATTTTGACATCTAGTGAACCATGAAGTTCCTTGTCCAGATTTCCCATATACCATGGCAATGCTGGGTATTGTTTGCTTACATCTACATAGGTCATACCGAAAGTCATGAGCAACTCTTTTTTTTATGTTGTGGAATTTAGCGACCTGTTTCACTGCTTCATATTCATAATGTGTATATATTAACAGTCTTCAAGTGCACACAATCCCATCTACCACTTCTACACTACATGTTTCGGCAGTATGCTGCCATCTTCACGTGTATCGATCCGTCAACCATTTCACTGCTTGCCTTTATATGTCCATTTACAAATAATATTAAATTTGTATACGTCCTTATATAATAATAAAGTTTGTGTATTTAAAACTTGTTAAAACCTACTGTCTCATACGTCATATTTTAAATTCGTGTGTATTATTGATCATCCACATGGGAGCCGTTCTTCTTGTGTTTCTAATGTCTGTATATTACGTCCTATAGTTGACAGATCGATACACCTGAAGATGGCAGCATACTGCCGAAACATGTAGTGTAGAAGTGGTAAATGAGATTGTATGCACTTGAAGAATGTTAATATATACACATTATGAACTTTTTTTTTGCATGAAACCTGGGGTGACCGGCACACACACAAACTAAACATCCATGCCCTGAGGTGGATTTGAACCCACGATCCCGGTTTCCAAGCGAGCGAAGACAGTACATGCCTTAGACCGCTCGGCTACCGTGACCAGCCCGTGAAGTCAATTAGTTTACTGAAATTCTGTTAAAGCGTTTGTTGGTGCTCCGTCACATATGATTTCTTTGTAGCTGGGCTCAGTTTGAAAACTTCAACGTTTTTCTCTCGATCCAATGTACCATAGTCGGAAAGAGAAGCGTTACGTTTTAGTCTTGTGGAAGAAGTGGGATAAACCGCGAAAGATCTCCTTGATCAGCAGACTCGGAATTTTACGCAAGGATCTCTTATGCCTAGAATGTAGACAAACCGCAAAACTTATTTTCTCATAAGATCTAAAAGTTTGTGATGATGGTAAATTGTTACAATTAATATGTTGCTGGACATTATCCATCATCTTGTCTGTTCTTAAAAAACCGTCTAGTTTCTATTAAAACACAACGTTTCGGGAAGTGGAATCTGTCCCCGTCTTCAGGTAAAACCTACTCAGTTGGGTCCAATAGACAGAGCTAGCCCCTATCTCCGGACAACTATGCCAATATGATTTCATTCTAGATATTTCTCTGGTGCTAAGCCTCAAATATGATAGCTTCAACATTTCTTAGCTCTCACAGATGGATTATTTTGTGCTTGTTTTATGAACCCCTTCTGAAACTGGCATAGTTGTCCGGAGATAGGGGCTAGCTCTGTCTATTGGACCAAACTGAGTATGTTTTATTTTCTCAGTTCAACCTAGTTTGAGAATGTTTCTGTACTTAGTTCAGAGAACACTAAGAACACTAGACCCAATTTTCGTAGAAAGAGCAAAACAAAAAACGTCTCCTATGTCCTGTATGAGAGGTACCCAGTTCTAATACCGACAGGAATTAACTAATTAAAGTTCTGTCTTCTACGATTAAACGTCATATAGTCTGTTGAAAGTCAACCGACGTTTCGGAGGATTATGTTGCCTTCACCATCAAGGTCGAAGGAGGCGATGTGTTCTTCTGGAACTTCGTTTGACTTTCAACGGACTACACGGCGTTAAATTCAAGAAGACAGAACTCTTCATAACAACAGCTGTGAGAACCTCAGATCCTACACAGGAACTGGACAAACGTATTATATATGGGTTTCCTTAATTCCTCTCGAAACTGTTTGCATGAAATCTGTCACTATGCGGAAGCATGATATGAAAGCTATGCAGAAGTAACTGTAAACATTAAGCTCTGCAGATTCGTAATCTCGGCACTAGACGGGGTTCAGTGCCTTCATGTTCGACAAATACCGCGGTATTACTTCCACACGGCCAATGGCCGTTTCCTTAACATTCTACAGCTCATAGTCTTTTGTCAGATCTCATTCGGCGCTTTGTAAAGAGAGCATTGAAAATCGTGATTAAATAAACAAGAAAAACAAACGCAGGAGTCAGTAGAATATGATCCTGCAGTTATATTACGGACCGCTCCTCCGGGCTGTTTCAAACTGTGGATCTGTAGAAAACAGACGTCATATGCAGGATGTACA